CTCCCCTCCACTAGCAGCAGCAGGCTGTCACAACTAGATGGGAGCAGCTTTTTCTGGAACAAACTGGTTTGAAGAAGTTGCCAATTTTGCAGCACCAGTAGTGGCTTAATGAGAAACAAGAGGAAAGCAGTAATTATTTTAAAAATTGATTCAGACATTTGTGCACAGGATATCGTCTCTCAAATTAAGTTTTCTAAGTGTTTGTTTTTAACTGGGAAACATGACCTGTGTAAATATAACCAGTTTACCCTCAACCCCACGCATTTTAATGAAAAGCCTTGCCAGAAGTAATGTGTCTGTAGACACAGTGAGAGGAGGGAAGATTCTGTAGGTCAGAATTGAAATGCTCTAATTTTCTGTATAGTTAATGTTAAAAATCTTATAGCTGGCACTGCCTCTAGTCTCTGATGTACCTTTTATTAATATTAACTAGGCTGTCTGTTTTTTTAAACATTTTAACTGCATGTGTGACTCATTGTTAATATTTTTTATTCTGAAATCTGTATAGTTAGAATTTCAAACAAAACATCTGTAAAACTGAGAAAAATTGCTGTACAACCCCCTAATTATTTATTCTATAATAACTGTGTCATTACAGGTAAAACTGCCAGTTGCTTCCATGCATTCGATTTAATTAAGAGAGCTCTCTTTCAGAAAAAAACTAGTGGGTTTTTTGACTGAATTGTACTGAAGAAAGGGAACCATCAAGTCCTCCTCCTTTTTAGTAAAGCACTTTGCATCTAGCAAACAAAAATACCCTCTTGGATCTACAAATGATGATCCAGTGGCTTTATTAAATTGGCTCTGAAACGTGTTCACTACAGTGAAGACGCAAATGAACCAAAACTGGGGCAAACCAGAGCAGCCTCCTCCTATTGTCTCGGAATGCTTCAGTAGTCTGGAATGTACTCCCAGGAAACTGGGAGCCGAGTTGGAAATAAAACTGTATATGCCATAAGTCTTTTGTGCTGAATGGCTTGAGGATACCCTTTCTGTGGATGCAGCATGGAACTTGTGAAGACTAAGAATGGGCTGTGATTTTCCCTACCTGCCTAAAATGCAGGCTAGCATTCCTTGAACTAGGCACACATGGTGGGAGCCTGTAGCCAGTGGGAGCTGTTATGGTGGAACCTCCCATCCTGGCACAGCCCCATATAATCCACATCGCAGTACCTAATCCAGCTCATTGCATGGCAGCGTAGTTCTTTGTGTTGCCATGGGGCAGAATTGAACGGGCAAGGGAGCTAGCACTGTTACTCTGTTAGCAGTGTGGTGTCCTGCCCTGGTTCAAGCCAAGTCTGAATATAAGATTCCACAGCTGCTTGGGTTTTGTGTGAATAGGTGCCGCTAAGAAGGGTGAAGGTCTTCCCCTCTGCTCCTCCTACTCAAGAGCCACATGCCGTACAGCTGCATAAGTGACTCTCCTGGTGTTAAGATCTGATTATTGAGAGAAGCCTCTGTCCAAATTAAGGTGCAAACAAGACCATATACCAAAGTCAATAATACATATTTTATTTAACGTGGAATATGAGATATAGAGGTAGAAAGAAATGGGGGGGGAGGGAAAGAGAAAGAGATCAAGCAGAAGATAACTACCACCCATGGATTCAGTGGCATCCTGTTGGTCCTTCTTCTCCCTGGGCTTCTTGGTGGTGGGGGTCCCAAGCTCGTTCAAAAATCGTCACTATTTATACATTTCAGCAAACAGAGGAATCAATGGTCACTAGTTACGCAGTTCTCTTATTCTGGAGGTTGAATGATTCCCTCACTTCTCGTGCTAATCAGCCCGCATTCTCAGTCTTTTAAATTGGTGGGTTTCCTGGGTCAGCTGGCCATGAGTGAGTGGTTGCAATCTTCCCCTGACAGAATTACCTTTTACCAAGTTGGAGCTGATTTCAGCATAGTTGGCTTTCCTTGTGGCCCATCCTTTGTGTCCATTACCAGGGATTCATTCTTCTCCCTAAGTTTTGATTACCTCCCCCTAGGTCTGAGATAACACCTGGACAATAGTACCACCTTTATCTTATCTCAGGTTCCCAAGGTATTACAGTCCAAGTTCCAGGTATCCATGGAGGCATATTCAGGAAGGGGGCTTCCATGGGTGTAGGTAGTCACAGATGCCATCTGTCCCATAACCTGGGATGATCTTTGTTTGTCCGGTGATGTATAAGAGCAGTTGCTTCTTTACACAGTTTGCCACACTGGGTATTTTTGTCTGGATATGTTAACCAGGATCTCGCCTCCAACAGGCCTGGACTTAGTGCCATCCCATTGCTCCATTCTGTGCTTACCTCATGGCAAAGTCCTTCTGTGGCCTTGACAGTGCTCTTTAACTCCCTAACCTGGCACAAAGGAGCAGATGCAAATATGGGATCTGATCACTTACTATTCTCTCATTATCATGATGGTGATTATGAAACTCCTTCTAAGTTAAGTAATATGTTTTTACCTTCACATGGAGCCCGCTGGAAATGCTTGCTCCATTAAAAAGAAAGAAGAATATTACAGAATTACTTTGACAAAAATAAACCCTGGCACTTGAGATCTTTTACTTAAATCCACCATCCTCAGGTTGACTAAACCTGGTTTAAAACTGATGTATGTAGCAATCTCCAGTCCAGGATTGTAATAAAAGCAAACTTCACCTCACACAGTGGCAGAAGAAAACACTGGCTTAAGGCTACATAGCATAAGGAATTCCAGAAAAAGATTCATGAGGATTTCGAGAGCTGTAGACAGTTTTCCTTTTTTCCTTCTCACATCTCAGTCTAGAAATTGTAAGTGATCTCTTGAACAGGTAGTTGGCAATATTCTGTTGGTGATAATGCAGATGAAACATTTGTTTTATGTTAATACATTTCCTAATTTCTCTCCTTCCTTACCCTCCATGTTTTCAATTCAGCTGATTTATAGACTCTTCTTAGTGCTGCTGATCAGTTTCATGGTTCCATGTTTAATCTTCAGTGGTGGTGGTGTTCTCTTCCCATCCTTGTGCTGCTCATGTTGCTTCAGCATAGGCAGTAGTGCATTTGGTCAGTGAAGCAGAATGGGATGAAGGTAAAGCTTGGGAGAGCAGGAAAAATGCATCCATGTCTGAATGGGTTTGCAGGTCTCACACCCATCTCCCCAACACATGCAAAGACCGACTCAGTCACCTGTGTTGACCCACAGCACTGTGCTTTGTCAGGGTCAAGAAAGAGCAGTGAGGCAACAGGAAGAGGGTGGTTTGTAATTGGGACTGTTGAAAAATGTAAAAAATAGTCTTTTTTGGCAAGTGGGTAGCTTGAGTATTAGGAGGTTTATTTATTGACTCTTGACTGTGATAAATTGATTTGCTTAATAAAAGGAGAAGTTCAGTACTTGGAATTCTGTTAACTACCTGACATACCAGAACTGGATTTCTTAGTGGTCCTTCCTGATGATGGTATAAAAAATGTTACAAAAGTTGTAGCCGAAATATAGAATTTTTATATGAAAGGAAGCTGCACAGATATGTGTTGATATGCAGATTGATAAAATGGCAGTTACAATAAAGCCAGGCTTAACATCCTAGGTGTTCAGATGAAAGTGAAATGCCTTGATAACAGGTGGAAAACTGCTTGCTGAATTTCCAGTGAAGAATTTCTCTAGTAAAACTGGTGGACTTATATTAGAGCACTGCTTTGTAGTGGGTTGCCAGTTAAATCTCAAGTATGTGTTGAAAGAATGTTATGAAGAAGTTACCTAAATCTTGTATGAAGCACTTACAGTAAGGAATTAAGTTCTTCTGCAGAAAGTGAAATATCGATTCTATAGTTCTGCATTTTATTGTAAAAGTGAAACAGGAACAGATTTAAGCTCATTCTCATTTAGTTAAATATGCAAGTGGTGAATTATATACTGGTGTAAAATTCATTGGGTTAAATGGTGCCTGTGATTATCTTTAAGGCCCTGAATCCATGTCTCCTCTCAAATGGCAGCTATAGGTCTAGAATCTCATTGTGGACTTGCATGACTGTTCTACTGTAGGCTTTTTACATGATGACTTCCATGTTCTAAGTGATTATTTCAACCTAACTTCATTTTCATTCCTTTTTTTTTTTTGGATGTAGTGACTGTGGTAATTTTCTTACAGCAAGGTGTGAATGCCTAGCATTATAGAGATTTTTCTTGTATAATAAAAACTGCTAAGAAGATGCTCATTTTCTTCAGCCGGGAAAGGTGTCTCCTTTAAATTGTTTACATAGGTCTTTTCCATTTCAACCAAGTCTACTCACAGCTGAACCCCAAGTTTTGAACTAGACTTTGTCCTTTTCACACTCTTGAGAAAACAAATGTTTTAGTACTTTGTGTTCCTGATTCTCAGCTCTTTCTTCAGCCTGGAGCCCAGTATGTAATTGTCTTAGAATTGTACCCCAGTGTGTCTTGCACAGGAGAGGAGGGAGAGGACCTTGATTGTTTATTCCTTTGTCTTTCTTGCTGGCTTTCCCTTTCTTAATGTGAAAGTAGTCACAATATTAATACAAGTCTGCTCTTCCTCTCTACAATTTGCCTTGTTAATTTTGAATGTATTGCATTTCTGTGTCTCGTATGACATGGTTGAAGGTCAATCATGTCACCCTGCTGGCGTGTGTGTGTATGTAATACCACTCAGTGTCACTAATTATTATTCCACACTAATAAGTGTTTACTTTAATCCATCCTATAACAACAAATTGTCAATGGGACTACATTCTCTTTAGAGTAAAGAAATTAATTTTTTATAAGATTAAGGCAAATTCTTTATGGGATTGAAACAAAATAGTGTTTGACCTTGGCTGAGAGAATATGTCATTGGGGAAAAACATGTAAAGGTTTCTTCAGTGATTAATGAAAATTAGCTTCTTTTTGCCCATACCTTATTGACAGGAAAGTATTAAAACATCCTCTCAAAAGTATTTATCCTTGTAAGCTGTCTTTGTAGTTGTTTAATACATCTTAGTTTGTGCAAGCATAATCAGATTTTTTTTTTCCCCCCCCAGTCGGTGTTATCCGCTGTCCAATTTGTGGTCAGGAATGTGCAGAGAGACACATCATAGATAACTTTTTTGTGAAGGATACCACAGAGGTTCCCAGTAGCACAGTAGAGAAATCAAATCAGGTAAGTGCATTAACATGTAATCAAGTTAACACCTTTTGCATGTGTATGCATATCCTTGGCTTCTTGCTGTGTGGCCTTTCTGCCGTTCATATGCAGATAGAACTCTAAGTACTTAGACATCACATGGGGTAGCTCCTCTAGAAAATCCGTTAAATCTGTGAAAATGCATGCGAAGAAGGTGATTATCTTACTGTATTTCAATTGTTGATAGAAAATTTCATCATGATAGCAAAAGATAAAAATAAGGACTGGGCACTAGAAATGGGAATTTCTATACTTTGGACAGGGTACGTGAGGCACACTTTTAAGCAGAGACTCGAACAACACTGCATCAGGAGATCTCAGTGTAAAATGGAATCCTCTAGTGACATTGACTTTATTTTTCTTGTGTCAGTACTGACAAGACAGCACTAAATAGCTGGAGTCAAGATGCCAAAGAAGAGGCTTAAAATTCTAATTGGGGAAGATGGTATGTTCTAGGAGTTTCTTGTTTGGTTTTATTTATGTAGACTAGCTCTTCTTCATTTTGCAATTGAGTAATAGCTGTCTCATGAAAGCTGCTTGTCTGGAATAATAGTAATATTGGTGTGATTTTTTTCTCATTATGATTTTTAGGAGGCAAGTACCAATGTGGAAGCTGTACCAAATGAATAATCACATCTGTGTAGAACCACAGTTTAGCAATCTCTGTTATCAAAATATTGCATGTCTTCATTTTTAGCTAATAAGAGAGTATCTCATGTATCTCTTTACTCAAAAACTTTTTAATAAAGTCCAGGAAGTTATTGTAAATAGTTCAGCCTCTTTGTATGTTGCTACATTCTTTGTAATAATAGTACAAAAAGGTTGCTATGTCAGTGTGGCTTGAATTTTCAACTCATCCCTTAATATTGGGGTGGTAGTCTCCTTTTATTTTGAAAATGCCTCTTTTTTCCCCTTCCTGTTTTAGGGATACGTGTTACTGGCTCTTGATTTGTTTGTTTGGAGTGCAGTGTCTTAGAGGTCCTTTACTGTGTATTCTGGTTGTTTCAAAGATCAGCTGAAATTTGCGCTCATGTACATGAACGGGCACGTCCCTTGGGAACAGATGAAATTCCCCAGTCAGATTTGTGATACCGGCTCGCTGACTGCTGAAGGCATAAGTGTTGTCATCATCTCTGAGGAGCAGAACATATGTCTGGAAAATGTTAAACTGTTTTCAGTTTATAAGATATTTTGAAACTAGATTTCTGGGAAATAATAGACCTTACCAGAAACTGAAATTGAGTTGTGAGTCTCTGGAAGTACAAACAGTGTTCTTGCAATGTAGGACTGTTTGACCTTTGCTTTCTTTGTGTTTGGGAAGGGGGAGGTGTTAGTTTGGGTTTTTTTGTTGTTTTCCCATGGATATTGCAGGAAATTATCTGAATTTTGCAGATGTTTGAGAGATTTACACAGTCTAGCAATACTGTACCAGTAAGACTGACAAAAATACATAGTCCCTGTTGAAAATTTGATAACTTTTATAGTGACTTTAAAATTAGAATGAGAAGCAAAATAACAAATAACTTTGTTATGCAGAAGTAGTCCTGAATTATTTTGGGGGACTGGGGCTGTACCATATCCTCTGCTTAGTTATACAACAAGTCCTCTAAGATACCACTTTGTGGAGAGGTGATAGGAATGGATTTTTTCTTTTTTCTCAGGGGTGGTGACATATTTTGTTGTCTCTGCTCCCCCCTCACCGTTCCCCTTTCCCCTCTCAGTTTTGCTTTCCTTTCTGTGAAAGTTAAGTGGGGAATTCCATCCATTGAGTGGTGTGAGCAGATGTCAGGGAGGTTCTTGAAAGCCTTTGTGTTTCCTTAGGATGCCTTCTCAAACTTTGGTCTTACTCTTCCATTCCATATTTGTTTCTCCCTCTCCCTAACACAAACCAGCAGTCTCACATTTAGAAAGCAAGTCTGTTCTTCAGCTAGGTTCCCTGGCTGAACTCACCACACTTTCTGCAGCAGTTGAAGACAAAACAGCAGACTTTGCTGAACCTTTGCAGAATAGGACATTAATGTGCTTTTCTGCTGACTTTTTTATAAAAGAATTGGAGCTAGATGTTTGGTTATATGCCTGCTAAGTGAGCACGTACCTTACCTCTTGGAAATGAATGATGTGCTGTTCTCTTTGAATAGATTTATTTTGGTATGATAATGACAGGTTTTGTACATTCCTTTGTACGTTGATGTAAAAAGGTTCTGAAAACCTCTCTGTTTAGTAACAGCAAAGTTAAATCAATAATAGTTAAACAAATTAGTGTCCTGTTCAAGGGGGAATATTACGAGGTTTAAGAATGATACAACCTTCTAATCAGCCTGTCTTGTTTTGGCCTTTCAAGGAGCAAAGAGAAAAAGTAAATTTGCCATTAGCAAGATAGGCAACATAGCAGAGGAATTAAAGTGGAAAAGATACTGACACTTGCAGGATATACTGGATCAGAGATTCTGTCAAAAACTTTGGCTATTTTATAGAATTTTTCTACTGAGATGGTTAATTTGTCTTTGATAGTTTGGCAGCTTTATCAGGATGCTTAAGAAATGAGAATTAGAGGCAGGCAGTAGGTTCTATGCAAATAATGTAGCTTGAAACCATTGGTCTGTATCTATGACTAACCTCTATATGTGTATTGTCAGGAAGGACTAGTTTGTTTTGATTCAAGAGGAACTGCAAAAGATCTCTTTCAAATAAAATGTTTGGTTGTTTCAGATTTAAAATGGTACAAACACTAAAATAATTTTCAGCATATTGAATTAAAACTGTAGGAGTGAATTATCATGGAGCCTGGCATTAAGGGATGAGAAAAATAACTGGAACCCATTAAAATGCTATCTTTTTATCTAAAATAATGTTTATCTTAACCTGATCTGGGCAGTTCAGTACCCTTCTTAAATGGCTGTGCTTTATAGCAATTAGTACTGAAAGCTTCAGAAGAAAAAGAAGTGAGCATAAAGGAAGTGTAAAACTCGCCATTAGGTATTCCACAAGGGCTTTCCTGGCTAACACTAAAGATTTTGTGCTGGCTGTTAGCATGGGAAGCTTTCCAGAAGGAAAGAAACAAACAGGCAATGCAATTGTGATACTCCTGAAAGTAATCATTGTAGGTTGTGGACAGCTAGAACATAAATACTTCAAAAGAGCAGGTGCTTTATAATTTTTTTTGACATTGTGATTTCTTGAAAGACTTGGCAAAATTATCAGCTTCTAAAGAGAAGTTTGAAAATAAAAATTAATTATACTTCATTTCTAAGAATGAGCGGAAAGGAGCTGACCCGAGAGATGGTACTGAAGCAAGTGCTAGATTAGAGTAAGACTAAAGGGTAGATAAGTGAGGTAAACTTAGGAACTTTAACTGAAGAAAATTGTTTGATATGTGGAAAACCATGAAAGTAGAAATGAAGTGTGAGATTGATGTAGCAGAGATCACAGCGATAACATGGGTGTTGTTGCAGCATCCTGAGCCTCTAGGGCATTCTAGTCTAGGTCCTAATTCTCGTTGCTGCTGTGTCCACAAGAGAACATATATAAAAATATTTTTTATTTTTGGTTTCTGTATCTTTACCAGTTACTGTCCAGAGAGTTTTAAATACTGTAGTAGGAATAAAGAACAGCTGGGCTTTATGTGAGATATTGGGAATGTAGTAACAAAGCAAGGTGCGAGCTCAGACCTGATACTTGATCCGAATACTAGCACAGCAAGTCTGACTGGCATAATGAGGAGATTAACGAGGACAATTTAGAAGAATGTTTTTCTAGATTTGTATGGTGTCAGATGAGCCACTATGTGTTTTTCCAAACAAGAACTATATGCTTAAGCAGCTTATAAAAGGTGTACCTGTGCCTAAAATATCTTTGAAAGCCAGTGGTTTAGGGCAGTGGTTCATTGACTCAGGGAGTCACAATGTGGTGGTGTGTGCTTTGGAAAGATGTGGCTGTTGATCGGATGGTGGGGTGAGAAGGCATATATTGATTCATTTTGGGATATCAACACATGGTTCATATTTAGAGTTACATATAGGCAGGAATGCCCCAAAAGACAGCTGCTGTCTTTGGTGAATTTGTATGTACCAAGAGATAGTTATATAACTTTTAACATGGATGGAAAGCATTGCATCTATTTTACACTGGTGAAGTTTGGAGCATTAGTTCACTGAATATTCATCTGGACTACATTGCTCTCTTCCTTTAAAACCTTTGCTTGATTATTTAATCTCTTTAGTACTCAAAGTATATTTAATTGGAAGAGTGGTTAGCTACTAGCTATATAGCTGAGAAGACAGGTCTATTACCTACATTCTTTCATGTAAATCTGAGGTTTTTTCTGTTGCAAAAGCTTGTATATTTACTTAAAATACTACTTATCTGCAACATGCTGAGTAATTTCTACTTTCATTAAATTCAACTGAAGGCTGAAAGAACACTTCCCGGGGTTATAAATACTAGAACTAGTAACTGAATTAAATTTAATTACAAGGAAAACTCAATTAAAAATAAATACCTGTCTAACTAGAATAAAGGCTTACAGATTAACTAGAGAGAGTTTTCTTTGAAATCACTGAAACTCTGCTTGAATGAGTCACAAAAATAAGAATGAAATAAGTTTTGTAAGAGCATAACAAATATTTGCAGTAATTGTACTTCCGTGTACTTTAGCTGTACCACTTATCCTAATAAGTAGGAATTTTAGCAAAATCCAACCTATGTCTGAAATGCGTATTTCAAATTAGAAGTGTATAGAAGCAAATCTAGTTTCTACCTAGAAGGCATAGCTGTTTTGACAGCTTATGTTATGATGTCTATGAAAAGCTTTAGAAATTTATTTCACATCCATTTGGTGGCTTTGAAGGGTATAAAGTTGGAATATATATTTTTGGGCCTACAAAGGAGGAGTTTTGATTCATTTGGCAGCAGCTGATTATTGGTTATTGAATCACAATCTTCATCTCATTCTACATTTAGCAGGTCAAACGAGTTGATACAGAACAATAAAGCCTATTGAAAAAGGAAAATAGACAAAACTCTTGGAATCTTGGAGGAATGAATAACTTAAGAAATTCTTTGAACTTATTTAAATGCCCTGGCATGTAGCAAGTTCATCTGCCTAATTTTGCCAAAGGTGACCTATAAAGACCTGTGGGGGTTTGGTTTGTTTTATTATTTGTTTTTAATTGGGTTCCTACCTTTTTTTTTTTTTTTTTTTTTTTTGTTTTGCTTCTTTGACCTAAAGAATACCTGAAAGACATTTTTTTTTCTGTGCTTATTTTATTTTCACTGTTGTTTACACTAGAAAACCAAATATCCAGTCTGTTATTCTCCAGTATGACTTGCACTTCTGGTTATCTGGGGACATAGCACAATCATACCTCTCTGGCAAAAAGACTGATTTGAAAACTTCTCATCCTGCCCAGTCAGTTCACTGCCCAGTCAGCAGTGCTGATGTAACTGAGCCCTGGGCTCTAGTGATGTAATAAATCTGGTTTTACGCCACAGTCTTGCAGAGGGTTGCATTGGCAAACCTAAGACAAAAGGAGGGAATTTCTTTTATGGGAGTTTCTGCCAGACAAAAGGTAACGTTGAAGTAATGCCTCAGTGATACTTGCTGTTCTGAGGGTTTTTTCCCAACAAGCTGTGCTGAGTCAAGAATACTTTTCTTTCTTTTTTTTTTTTTTTTTTCCCCAAATGTCATTGAATTAAAGGGTTAATAGCAAGTATTGTGGTTTAACCTCAGCTGGCAACCAAGTACCATGCAGCCTCTCACTTCCCCCTCTTTGCTTTATTTTCCGCCCCCCACCTTCAGTGGAATGGTTAGAAGAATTGGGGGTGGGAGGAGGTAAAACTGTGGGTTGAGCTAAGAACAATTTAATAATTGAAATAAAGTAATATTAAATAATTATAATAATAGTAGTAGTAGTAATGGAAGGCGGGAGGAGAGAGAGGGAGGAATAAAACCCACGACAGACAAGTGATGCTCGGTAAAATTGTTCACCACCCACTGACTGATGCCCAGCCCAGTCCCTCCCAGCCAACTCCCCACAGGTTATATATGGAGCATGATGTCCTATGGTATGGAATATCCCTTTGGCAAGTTCAGGTCAACCATACTGGCTGTGCTCCCTCTTTGTGCATGTCCTGACTTGGCAGAGCCTGGGAAGCTGAAAAGTCCTTGACTTTGGATAAGCGCTACTTAACACACTGATGTTCTAGTGGTTGCTATCAATATTATTCTTATAATAAATCCAAAACCACAGCACTGTGCCAGCTGCTAAGAAAAATCAAAACCCAGCAAACTCTATTCCAGCTGAAATCAGGACAGCAAGTAAAAGTTTTCAATTTCCTGATTACAGTTCACTTCCTTTAATTGCTTTATTTCCATTTTCTAGGCCTTTTTTTATGATGTCCTGACCTTGGTATTTCTACCTAGTCTAGTAGTCTGGATAGGACTAAGAATTTTATTGCTAAGAGAAGAGGGAGAAGAAAAAGAAAAATCAAGGAGAAGATTTAAAAAAAAAAAAAATTCTTTTGAAAAATAAAACTTCCAGGCATCATTTTTGTAAAGAAACAGAAAAAGGGGCACAAGCCCAATTTTTTCTCCTTTGCAGGTCACCTTTAATGAAAAGAAACTGCTTCAATCTCCAAGTGACAACAAGAGGGGTCAACAACCCTTGTGTTGTAACTTCATTTCTCAGAAGATAATTGCTTTGAGAGGCAACATGATCCAGAAGAATAAACACATCATTGGGAATCTGGAACTTCTATGTTCAAATTCCAGTTCTGTCAGTAACTTGCTATGTGGCTTAAGGCAAGTTTTGTGCTAATTTTCCTCTCTTTCTTGAAGGGGAAACTGGGACATAGTTCTACATACGTATTTTCTATCTGCATAGGATGTAAATATTTGCTTCCTCTTTGACTTAATCTATATTTACCTTGTGTGGGTGCAGAAGTCATTTCATTGGGTTTTTTTAATCAAATTGAAAACAAAACTAAAATCTAAAATTTTCTCCTTTTTGCACCTGCAAGCAGAATTCTGTCACTGTGACCTGTAGGATATCGCAGTCTTCAGATAACCTGGGGCTTTGGTTTGCAGCAGTGCTCAGTGTTGACAGAAATGGGTGGTAGTTACCTAAGCGAGTATCTGCGTAAGCACGTTTCTATTTTTCACTACCAAACCCCCCTTGAAGGTGGGACTACAGAGGCATTGTAAAGGAGGAGTAAACAATGAAATAATGTTATCAGCGTGTGAAGTGGTGCTGTGTAGCATTCAAAATTTTCAACGCGTTGTTCAAAGTGTGGTTCCATAGCAGTTTTTTCTTGTGGGTGTATTGACTCTGGGAAGAGAGGTTTTGGTCTGCTATCATGTTTGTTTTCCTGAATTCATTTTTTTTTCCCTAGGTCTCTTGGGTAAAGTCCAAAGAGCTCCAGGAATTAACAGGCCACACTTTGAAAACTATTAGGCATTGGTTGCAAATCTGTTCTAGGGTAGCTTTTCTGATAAACTTAACTGGAATACTGTCTTTAAGTGGTGATGCAGAGATTCGTGAGAGGAACCCTGCTGTGTGTGCTTCGTGAAACTCTGAGCAGGGGACCAGAAACTGAAATTAAAGCTGAGGGAGGCTTCTAAAGTCAGAACAGTGCTGATCATGTTCTGTCATTAGTAAATATTTCCCAACAGCATCTTGTATACAGTAAACATTGCATGGCTTCTAAGGGTGCAGTGGCTGGCAGAAAGTAGTGGTTTGACTTTTATCATGTCAGGTCAAGATTTTAGAGTAACACTGGCAAAATGACCTCTTTATTTGAAAAGTCACATTCAGTTACTTTTATGCAGTTATTTATAGTGTTCCTGTACCTCGGGCAGTTTTCCATTCTAATTTCACTGTTTTCAGAAAACTGTAGAAGTGCACTGATGATGTATGAACAAGAGCTTGTATATATATTCCAAACTTATTTTAACAGCTACCTTTTCTTCCTCTCATCAGGTCTGCACAAGCTGTGAAGACAATGCAGAAGCTCATGGTTTTTGTGTGGAATGTGTAGAATGGTTGTGCAAGACCTGCATCAGAGCTCACCAGAGGGTTAAATTTACAAAGGATCATACTGTGAGGCAGAAAGAGGAAGTATCTCCAGGTAACACACTTGATTTATAATTTCCCAAAGAATGTATATCTACCTTGGAAAAATGTACTGGACCACCATTTTTTTTTAACTGATACACTTCAAAAACTGTATTCCTGAACCCTAGTAAATGCAAAAGAACAGATTCATTTTGATATAGCCCTTTGGTGCATATGAATTAGTGGAACCATTTTATTTTTCTGGCTGGTAGTGGATATGTTTTCATAGTTTCCTGCCTTCCAGTCACTTATTTCAATTTTTGTTGCTAAAGGCTGCAATCATTTGAACAAATTATGGTGTTTCTTTGAATCTTCATCTAAGTGGATCTCTTAATTGATGCCGCTAACAAAAGAGAAAACTTTATTTTAAGCGTTAGATGCATAGCTACTGAATAGGAAGACTTCACTAAGGCTGGGACTATGAAAGCTGTTTTTCTGTCATTTTTTTCCCGTCAGATAGGCTGTAAAGTTATAAGAAAACCCTACAGGTTGTTTTTTTCATAGGAATTTTCATTCATAGGAATATTTTTTTTTACATAGATTTTATCTCTCACCTGGAGTGATTGCACATTATTGTCTAGACCTTGAGAGATCAGTTGCAGAAAATCTTCTTTAGGCATTTGGCTCCTCTAGTTTATGTAGAGGTCTACCAGATGGTTTATATGAGCTTTACTGTTGTATTCTGCAGCAAAAGGAGCACTAATAGATTGTATTTTTTTCAACAGTCTTAACAATAAGCATACCCAGTTAGCAATGAAATGTGCCAGAATTCATGTTTTAGCTAAGTATGTTTTAAGTTTGACGTGTTTTGCCATAGAAATGAAAGGGAAGTATGCTATGACTTAGGGTATTTTTCCTCAGTAGAATCTAGGATATTTCAGGCTGGAAGGGACCTCAGGATATATCTAGTCCAGCCTCCTGCTTAAAGCATTCATCTGAGAGCAGTTCAAGTTGCTCTGGGCTTTATCTGTTCAGGCCTTGGGAACCAACAGTGGTGAATGTGGTGTACAGTACAGCCTCCCTGAGAAATCTTGGCTGTTCTGTAGTAGAAAAGGTTGTACCTCTATTCATTGAGAACCTCTTTTGTTTCCATTTTTTCCCATTGTTTTTTGTCTTTTAGTGACATTGTAGGACAGTAATAAACATAATAGGACATTAATGAACAAACATTTTACCCTTTCAAATGCATCCATTGGACTTGCATGATTTTTCTTGTAAATATATGAATTTTTATATGATGTTTATAAATGACTATATATTATTTTAAATATATGCATTAGAACAGAGATGTATTGTCATTCCACCCTATCTAGATAGGGTGAATTTTATGTATAATGTGGGATTTAACTTCTGCAATCTGTTGCTCAGAAGGTATCTTCCACCATGATACTTAGAAGATATACACTGTGTTCTGTATCCCACTTTCACATGGGGTTAGTCAAAAGTGAGTACTGAGTGTAGTGACAAAAGTAGGGGGTAAAAGTGGCTGATGGACTGTTAGGCAGAACATGACGTGGTGGTAGGAATGGTCTCAGTTCATTCAGGCCTCCTTGAAGGATACAGTTCTGAAAATAACTTCCTCCAGATTTCTTGAAAATAAGTAGATGAATGAGTACAGAAAAGAGATCTTACTGATCTGCAGTGAAGGATGGGCTGCAGTGTGAAGCCAGTTTTCATTACAGGCCATATAATCCTCACAAACTCAGGTGTCCAACCTAACTCTTTGGAAATTAGGCTATGTTGATTAAATTGTTTTAAAGAACAGATTTAACTTCTATGATCTAATAGTGTTACCTATGCTCTTTAATATTTACTCAGTAGAAACTGAAGAGAGATCCCTCACCCATTTAGAAGGGGGTCTTGAAAGGAAGTTAGTAACTCCTGCCTATTGCATTCTGTATGTTTTGTACTTCTGAATGCCTGTGTCTTGATATCCTCAACCCTCCTTTTACCAATTCAACTGAGAAAGAAGACAGAGCATGAATTAAGTCAGCCATCTCCTCATTTCCATTTAAGAAAGGAACTTGCTGGTTGTGCAGTGTTTTGCAGCTGCAGCAGTACTGGCTACTCCTTTTGTAAATAGTTTTGTGAGGCCATAACAGATTATGGTAATAGGTTCTAGACATTTTCCATGAGAGAGGGTGCTAGCTCCATGCTTGAGCAAGAGTGAGACATTGCAGTTTAAGCTTATGGCTGTTATATTCTCCATTAGGTGGCCTGATACACACTTACAGCGTCTAGGGGAGGAATATGGTAAGAAAAACCAGGAGAATGCAAATCTTTAATAAGTTCAGGAGACTGACTAACATCTTCCTTTATTCAACAGAGGCAGTTGGTGTGACCAGTCAGCGACCAGTGTTTTGCCCTTATCACAAAAAGGAGCAGCTGAAGTTGTATTGTGAAACCTGTGACAAGTTGACCTGCCGAGACTGTCAGTTACTAGAGCACAAAGAGCACAGGTATCAAAGCAAAGCATATGTTTTATACATCCCACTTTTAGGAAGACAGCTCGAAGTAGATTGTAGTCCTAACTGTATGGAATACAGTCAGGTGAAAAAAGTGAAAAATGAAATTTTCTGCTTGGAAATGAAGCTCACAAATAAGCAGAGATTGTATCCAAAAGAATGGGACTGATGAGTGTGTGTTAGTTTAGAATAAAACCTAATTCCTCCAGTTGTTAATCCGGTGACTTAAACACAAGACCTTTCTTTTACTGTCAAGTTATTTAGATAGAATTCGTTGCTATGCAGCTCTTCAGAAAGCACAGGGACTGTGTTATGCAACTATACACTTCTGTGTAATTTCTCAATTTGTCCTTCAACAAGATGATTATATAACAGAACATTACCAAACAGTCTCAGAATGGAGCAACTGGGGATTTTTTTCTATGAAGAGCTCTTCCAAAGGAAGAGTAAACCTACGGTTTGGCTAAACTGTACTTTGACCACACTATTTATAACACTCAAATCTTTGTGTTGCTGTTCTTTGGTCATCTCTTACGTGTCATAGAAGCTGAAATGCAGAATTGCATACAACTTCTGAGTTCATGACAAAAATCTTGCTGGTTAAAACATACAGTAGTGGTCTGGGACAGATGCACTCTGGTTAAATACTAATATGCTCTCTATACCTGATGCCAGCACCCAAAAAGCTTGCTTGCCTGACCAGGTGAGCATCAGTAGGTTGGTCACTGTTGCTCCTTGGAACAGGCTAAATGCTGCTCTTGCAGAGTTGCAATCTTCCTCTTGAATTCTCCTTTTCTTAGGATTTACATCCCTTTTCTTTCTCAAATTGTTGATTATATCAGTTCCTTGATTTAAAATGTTTCAGTTCCTTAATTTAAAATCAGTTCCTTGATTTTAAAATGTTTATTTGAAATTAAAACTTCTGCCCACTCAGCAATTTCTTTTCTATTTCTGCATCCTTGTCTTGCACAAAGTAATAGCTTATATGTTTTCTCACATTCAAAGTGATGACTACATCAAAACATTAATTTTTCTTTTATTAAAATTAGGCCATGGTCACACAATATCCTTTTGTATTTATGAAAATCATAAACTCTCCCCCCAGTATTACAGGAAATAGACTGTAGAATCAAATGTACTATAAATAAAATATGTCAGCATTTGCTGACATTTGCTTCCATGATGACAGTTAAATTTTGGACTTCAGCAGCAGCTTTCTTCAGTTAAAGATTTTGTAAGGCAATCTGTTTTTTAGCAAGTATATCACACCTTTTGCATGTGTAAATACTCAATGCTTTTTACTACAGGTACCAGTTTATAGAAGAAGCCTTTCAGAACCAGAAAGTGATAATTGAGACACTAATCACCAAATTGATGGAGAAGACTAAATACATAAAATATACAGGGAAACAGATCCAAAACAGGTATGTATCAGATTTCGAGGTTAAAACTGACTGAGGGCAATTTACATACACTGTAATTTCTTGAAATGTTTCAATGAGTGTATTTTGTACCTCTGTCCTTTTATTCTTCCAGAAAGAGAAATTCCAAAGTCTTCAGTTCGCTGTAGTGACTGGTTCAATGTGCTTGATTGTGTTAGGTAACTCTGCTGCTCAGCCTGTGAACTTAATGGGCAGCAGTTGCTTGGGTGCAACAAAGCAACTTATGCAATAAGGACTGTAAAAGGCAATCTTAAATGCTTCCCCACCATCAGCACACTTACTTTCTGAGTGTAGATCCCTCTTAGAAAGTGAAAGGTTATGACTCATGCTTTCATAATGCTTGTGACACGTATTTGAAGATTTATGTAATACTTTTATGCTTGGGGCTTTATTCATTCAGTACTACAAACCTAGTGATGGCAGAGCAAAGCACAAAAGGCTTAGTTGGTAAAACACCTTGCCCTGCTGAGCCACGAGAAGGTAATTGCCTAATATTCTGCCTGCTTTGCTAGAAGAACACTGTCGGAGCACTGTTTTGTTCTGTTTACTGGACCAAACTTTCATTATAGAAAGAATGCTAGGATGTAGACCGTAAGGTAATAAATCAGATAAACTAGACATTTAAAGTAGGTATCGGAGGCTCAGAGCCAGGATTTTGCAGGCTTGAGGAATGAGGGTCACCAACAAAGTTGAAAAGTTCAGCCTTGAGGAAGACAACTGTGGCGACCACCAGAGGGATGAAGGCTCGCTGTCAACCGCCACAGTGAAAGACTACACATGCACCAGAGAAGATTCTGGAAAGTCTCTGCCCAGAGACTAGCCTACTTATTAATATGTATGTTATGGGATGTAACTATGTACTTACAAGCATATAAGATAGCAGAAGTTGCACTTTCAGGTTGAGCACGGTTTGTGTGGTGCGAACCACCTTGCTCCCAACGTTGCAATAAACAAATACCTTTCTGCTTAAAGATGCAAAGTCTCTGAGCAGTTCTTTTATTCCGAGGTTTTTCGGCATCACTGGGAGAAAAATAAATCTGTAAAATGCGATCTGCAGTGGGCCTTTGTGACTGCTGCTTCAGCAGAGTTCAGAGGCAGCAGTACCCACGGAGATTCAACACAGTACAGGATGCCGAGATGCAACTTGAACTCTTCCTTCATCTTAGCAGTAGAGGTTTTCCCAATATAAGATTCTGCTTTGCTGTTAGGAATTTGAGCACTGTTGTTGAAATTGGACAATCTACTGGTTTTGTTTGTAATGGAGTGCCATTCTGCATTAGATGGAAATTAGACTTGAACAGTTTTGAGTGCCATGGACCATTCCAGAAATGTGCCAAACAGCGGAAAATCAAGAATTTCAACTACAATGAGCGTTTAATTTTTATAAGTAACAGATGTCAGTAATTTTACAGACTTATGGCATTAGAATTTGCCACCAGTTAATTAATTTTGTCATAGGTCACTTACTTGCTCTTTCTGTTTCTCCCAGTAGTATACCTGACTATAAGTATCTGATGATATCTGTATTAATTGGGGCATATGACCAAGAAATATTGTAGTCTCAGCAACAGATTTTTTAATACTGTGTAGAGGGTGGGGTTTGGGAGCTAAAGAACATTATTTTCTGTTCTGTCTCCTTACAGAATTCTTGAAGTGAATCAGAATCAAAAGCAGGTGGAACAGGATATTAAAGTCGCCATATTTACACTGATGGTAGAAATAAACAAAAAGGGAAAAGCTCTGCTACATCAATTGGAGGTAATTTCATTTCTAAGAAACAGAAATGCCAGTTGTAATTTTTTTTTCTATGTATTCACATTAAAGTAAAAAACATTTCTAGCACTAGTCCCCTGCGCATGTCCTGTCACAATTCCAAAGTGGAGAGATGTTCTGTACAAGCAACTTGAGCAGGTGGGATTTTGGTGGATGAGAATTTGGGTTTTGAGGAGCAGTTGCTGTTTTGTTTGTAATTATTATCTGTGTTCTCTGTTTTGGGAGTCAGGCCTTTCTCTGAGCCCGGTTTCTTTCTCCATGCTTTTGCAGGTCATAATTCTGTGCATCATACATGAAAAGTTTTCTGTGCATCAGAAATTTTCATAAATTCAGCAATCCAATAGCAAATCACAAGATAGAATTGCCTAGAATGAATACCTGGAAAAATATTACCTCCAGTTTTATAACGTGTGTGTATATAAAGAAGCTCACACACACACATACACACACATATATATATGAAATGTATTGCAAGAGAAAATGGGAATTAGCACAGAAAGTCCTTATATCTTGAATACATGTATACTGACTTTTCTGTTTGATAGCTGTATCAGGGGGCAGCTAAGAGAAGAGCTAAGTGAAACCACTTTACCATTGTGAACTACAAATGCCTGTTAACTGTAAGTTGAACCCTTTGACTGGAACTGCTTTTCTACTTGCAGACTCTGGCAAAAGAGCATCAGATGAAACTTCTGCAGCAACAACAGGAAGTGGCGGGTCTCTCTAAACAGCTGGAACATGTCATGAATTTTTCCAAATGGGCAGTTTCCAGTGGGAGCAGCACAGCACTCTTGTACAGCAAACGCTTGGTAAGGTTAGGAAGATAGCTCTCTCCATTTAGTTAGAGACTTTAGTTTAGGCACAGATGCTTGTCAGTAGTGGTAGGGTATTAGAATTTTTAATGTCTTTCTACTAATTGGAATATTTATATATAGTTTTTCATGGTTTTCTCTTAAACATAAACACAGAATATTTCTAATAATTTAGCTCTCTGATCATGATTTTCTCCTGTTAGACTGCCATAGAACTGTTGTTGTGGGTCTGCAGAAGTAGGAGCAACTCCTTTTCAGTGGGTTGAAAACTATGAAGCCCTGAAACACTGGGAAAAAAGTTGTGTCCCCTACATCATCACTGCACTTCTTTTCAGTAATTGCTACAGCTTCTAAGTTATAAGCTTATAAGATGGTGTATATCAGTGTCTGATATCTAGCATTTTAATGCAAAAATTGCTGTATTTTTTTATTCTGTCAGACTTGTCTCCCACTGAAAGTCTTCCAAAATGGATAAAAATGAAGCTGAGGCTTTTGTTTTTCCAGTGCAAACAGTTGAAAAGCTAAATATTTCAATGCTATGACACTTGGGATCTGAGTGCATGTGCTCTCGCTAAGCTGACTCCTCATAATGAACAGAAATCCTAGAATATTTGAAATAAAAACCAAACCAAATGCTGACCATGATCTGTCCAACAGGTTACTAGATTGTACTAGCCTGGTAACAGAAACCTGTGACTGTTGAGGAAAGATGCTAGGTCTGTTTTTTATCAGTTCCCATAACTGGCTCACAAAGTTTTTTCTTAATTTTCTCATTTCTTAGTTGAGCACTTTCCAGGGGATTTTGTGAGATTTGTTTGGTTTGGTTTTGGGGGTTTTGGTTTGGTTTTTTTTGTTGTTTTTTTTTGGCATCCTTTGTTGATACTGCAGGCTATAGCAAATAGTGGAATATTACTTGGTTTTATCAACTCCATGTAGTTCACTTGGAGAGACTCTGCTATGTGAGTAGGAAAACCAGTAGTGTTGCAGGCATCTTAATCATATAAACATTATGCAGTTGAAGAAAAAAACCATCTAGCCCATAAAGCCTCACCAAGTGAGAAATATTTTTCAAAATAACAGACTGAGCTTTAGAAAGGTGGTGTTACTTGGGAGCTGAGTAGCTAACCTGTCTGTGGGCAACTGGAAAAATCTAATCCTGAACAGTGATGCATAGAGGAGCATGTGAGACTTCTGCTCTGGCATATCCAACTGCTTCAACCCAGGAGGGAGGAGAATGCCCTTAAGTGCAGTGGTACAGCTCAGAGGCTGTACTTCAGGGAAACAGCACAGTAAACTTTTTGCAGGAAGGCAGTTTCCCAGCCTAGTTCTCCAAAACAAACTAAGCACTGTTAGCTACCACCACTACTAACAGGAGGTAACTAGTCTAGTCACGAGTTTATCTACAGTTGTATGTGTGTGCACAGTAATAGGAAAATAACGGATCAAACTATGACAAGAACTGTGTGTGACCAGTTTTGGTAACGGGACAAAAGACTAGAATTTCTGTAGTGTCGTGTACTTGATTCTGGTAGTGTTCACAGAAATCCTAAGAAATCTAAATTCAAAATACTAGTAGTGCACTTAAAATTTTCCACGGTCATTAATAAAACTTAAGTCTTGCTAATTTTGTTTATTTGGTCTTAAAACTGTCCTGCCTAAAATTGAAAAAAAAAATCTTGTAAACTGGAAGCTCTTATAAAATTCCACTGTAGAAAAACCCAATAGACTAGTATAATTTGAAACAGTTAAGATGATTTTGCTAAGTATGTCTGTTGAAGTTTTCCAGGAAATAATCTATCATTCAAGGAACCAAGTGTTGACCTCCTGAATTTTTTTTTTCTGTATCTGCTGTGTGAATCTAAAATTAGTGCCTGTTATATTTCTGTGTATCAGTGCCTGATATTTCCAGTGAAACAACTACAGGAAAACATTTTCTTTCTAGGAACTAGATAAATACTGAGCATTTGATAGAGTATTCTTTTGTGTAATCATAGTCCAGTCCTTTGGAACAAAGGCTTTGGGAGAATCTGAAAATACCTGTGAATCTGAGAGTTTTCAAAAACAGACTTTATAAAAATCTGTTCTTTGGCTGTCTGAAGAAAACTTAAATCTAGTACAAAGGAAAATTCCCTGCCATGATACTTGTTGCTAAACGGATGGCGTACTTTTCTTTGAAAGAAAAATAAATGGGCTAGTATAGATTGGGGGGATGGGAACACAGCAAGGGTTATGTGAATCTGTATTTCACATGCAAGTAGTTAAAGTCATTAAATGTAATGACCATGTTTGTGGGAGGATATGTATTTCTACAGGGAAGAACTTTTTTGGGTTTTGAGGCAGTAGTTGATTTGTTTTTAAAACTACATTAGAAATAAGGGAAAGAAGTTAAAAATATCTCTTTATATGTAGCTTGGACACATGTCTCTAACCTCAGTTCTCTAGGGGCTTGTTCAGGGTTTTATTTTGGGTTGGTTTGTTTGTTTTGTATGTGTATGTGTGTGTGTGTGTGTTTGGGGTTTTTTGTGCTGTTCAGATACATGGCTCTGGCCTCAAAAGGAAAAAAACGTCTTGTTTTTGTTACTGTTTTAGATTACATATCGTCTACGGTATCTTCTCCGAGCAAGGTGTGATCCTTCACCAGTCACTAACAATACCATCCAGTTTCACTGTGATCCAAGCTTCTGGGCTCAAAATATTTTCAATCTAGGTAAGATAAATTTTTATTAGCCCTTTGGTGTCTTGATCCTATTTTGAAAGCAGCTTTCTTTTTTGTGAAGATAGCCTCTGCATTATTTATTTCTTGATTTACTATGCTAAATTTATTTCCTTACCTGTAGGAAACATTTAAAGTGCATAGCATGGGAAAAATTATTATTTATGAATGCTTATGATAAAGTATTAATGAATTTACGTTGCCTGAATGGTACATGCGATGGTGAAAATGGCAGCTTTCAGTTTTCTGGTCAATGCATATAACTACCGGCTTCTGAAACAAGGAACACAGTCTATAGCCCTACTTCACATCCTGAGAGAAGGGTTCTAGAATTCAGTCTCATTCTGCATCTTTCAGCCCTTTTATTCTAGTTCAGTCCCATCTTCCCAAGCTGAAACCGTAGCAGCAACATAATATAGAATCATAGAATATCTCAAGTTGGAAGGGATCCATAAGGATCATCGAATCCAACTTCCTGCTCCTCACAGGACTACCTGAAATTAAACCATATGACTAAGAGGATGATACAGAGGCTGCATGAACTCTGGCAGACTTGGTTCCATGACTGCATCCCTGGGGAGCCTGTTGCAGTGACCTCAGTGAAGAACCTTTTCCTAATGTCCAGTGTTCATTTGCTCCCTTGTCATGCCAAGCAATAAGCCTTGGAAGACTGGGATGAAGAGAAAGGGGAAAATGCCAAAGAAAAACAGAAGGACAGGGAAGAGAAAACTACTTTTTGACAGTTGTCTGGCTTCTATGTGGTCTTTCCTGAACTTGTGGGGTGAAATTCAGAAGAAGGCATGTTTTTAACAGGGTTGCAAAAGTATTTAGTCTTTATTAATGTAATAGATTTTGAGCTAGTCTCCGAACTGGTCTTTACATTTTATCTTACAGCTATAAATTGCTGATAGGGTTTTATTGTACTGGTGATTTCCAGTATCAGGAAGCTTTGCAATTAACCTACTTGTGTGATAACTGAAAGCCTGAGTTTAATGAATCATAGAATTGTTAAGGTTTGGAAAAGACCTTTAAGATCATGAAGTCCAACTGTCAGCCTAGCACCACCAGCAAGTTCACAATTAATCCATGTCCTCAAGTCCATATCCACACATTTTGTGGAAACTTCCAGGGATGGTGACTCCACCACTTCCCTGGGCAGTCCATTTCAATGCTTGACAACCCTTTCCATCAAGAACTTTTTCCTAAGATCTAATCTAAACTTCCCTTGATGCAACTTGGGGCCATTTCCTCTTTTCCTGTCACTTGTTACCTGCGAGAAGAGACACACCCCCACCTCACTACAAGCTCCTTTCAGGTAGTTTTAGGGAGCAATAAGGTCTCCTCTGAGCTTCCTTTTCTCCAGGCTACACACCCCCAGCTCCCTCAGCTGCTCCTCATAAAGCTTGTGCTCCAGACCCTTCACCAGCTCTATTCTCTGAACATGCTCCAGCTCCTCAATGTTTTTCTTGTAGTGATGGGCCCAGAACTGACCAGGGGATTTGAGGTGTGGCCTCACCAGTGCTGAGTACAGGGGAACAATGACTCCCCTAGTCTTGCTGGCCCCTTTATTTCTCACACTGGCCAGGATGCCATTGGCCTTCTTGGCCACCTAGGCACACTGGTGGCTCATGTTCAGCTGCTGTTGACCAACATCCCCAGGTCCTTTTCCATGGGTCAGCTTGTCAGCCAAGAAGATAAAGCATCTTAGGAACTCAACAGCTTAGAAGCAGGAATTAAAGTTCTTAGAGGTTTTTTAGGATTTTGACTGCTGTCATGGTTCCTTTCTCTCTCCACTGTTAGTTTGATGGGCATTTTTGTTTTTCTGTCATGTGCAAAAGGCTTTATGAGATACCTGTGGGACCTTTTCTGCCTTTCATCAGAAAGTGCTCTACCAGATGTACAGAGGTGCAAATGTATGTTTCTCTACAAAGTCAGAGAAAGAAAGTGTTATGGCAGTACTTTAAGGCAAAACAGCTCCTTTTCCCAGACATGAGGACATTGGATGGCAGCATGGAAGTTCTCCCAAGTTCCTTCTTTATAAATAATTATCTTTGAGAAAGGAATTGAAAGTGAAACGTTTTTCCAGAAACAAACTGTCGAGTCTGTGGTGATAACTATGAACTGCTGCTTCACTGAGGTGATAAATACAACCAGAACATGTTTATCTATCTGGCTGCAGAAATCACAACCTTTAGGTCATTTTGTTTCCAATCAGACGCTCAATTTCTGTAGATTTAAGAATCAACTGAATGAAAAATAAAGCAAATCTGAGTAAAGAAGCAAGTTACTTTAGAAACTTTCGAATTCTGCTCAAGGCTGCATGTTGCTGACAGCGTGATAGCATCTGTACACTAATGGGATAGCTCTCTTATGAATTTCAGAATGTATGTAAGAATAAAACCATCCAATCGTTCTCTGTCGTACCTTTGAGTAAGTAGCTATACCACAGGCATTAAATCAGGAAAGACTTTTGAGGTTGTAATTAGACTTGGAGAGAATAGAACAGAAGTGCAGTATGGTTTTGACAGTTGATTGTAGTACAGTCCATACCATTCTTTGTCAAGGTATATCTTTTTCTAGAGAAAGAAAATAAAACATCTGTTTTGATTGTAGTGAAATATTTCATACAGTCATATATGGTAAAAAGTGTTATTAATTTGCATTTTTCCCTGCTCACTTTAACATTGACTAGACCTGTTACAGACTTAATAAAAGGTACTAGGCAATAGGTGGGGGTTTTCCACTGTATTTACCATATTTAATATTTTTGTTAATGACTGATGTGGTACAATCATGATTAAAACGTATGCAACCCCAAAATTGCCAGGTGTCAATATGAAAGTAGTGTTATTGACGTTGGCTTGCTGCCCTGTTCTGCACCACAGTGTGTTGGCTAACCTCCCTCTCTGCCTATGGCTAGATGGGGAAGTAGAATGATGCTACAAGCACCGTTTCTCAGCTCTTGGGATGAAAAAGAGGAATATAAAATGCAAGAATTTTCCTCCCCCTTCAGATAATCTATCCCCAGCCGAGTCAGGCTAGACTGCACAGGATCCACAGATGGAGGTACTCATGGATATAAGAGGAGTAGCAAAGAGTCGTTTCAAGTTGTTATGTAACAGGGATTTACCAACTCTCATGTGGTGCACCTACCTCATGAGATAAAAACTCCTGGGAAGCAGCCATAAATGTCTGGGAGAGAAGAGAGTATGAGATATTTATCTCCCACTTGTGTTGAAAAGCTGTTGTGCAGCCTTCTGCAGGTCATTGGAATTTTTTAACTCTCGGTCTTGGACCATGTTTTTACCTACTTCACTCTGTTTCGAAGAAAGAAAGTGTCATTGTCTTTTCCTCTACAAGCAGCGGGCTATTTCCTTGAATCAGACAAACTGTTCTAGTTGGAATTCATGTTTCTTGGATGAGGTAGCCAGAATTTTGCCTGAGTTTCATGTAATCACTCTCTATATATCTTCAGATAACATCTCTCACCCACCATTAATCTCTAAAAGTTACTTGTCTAGTCAAATTTCCTTCTAAGTCAGTAGAGACAGATAAAACATCTCCTGGAGGGTGCCCATCACATGCTAGAATTGGTGCTGCGTGCCACTTGAGAATGCCCTTTGAGTATTTGAGTATTTCAATATCCATGATGTTGACTCAGAAGCCAGAAAGGATCACAGTATCTTTAGGTTTTATGATACAGTTAAGTCTTTCTATCAGATGATTAGATCAGGATACCCTTTCCCATTGAAACTTTGCTTCCTTGCTCTTCTGGAGAGGCCAGGACACCTTCCCAGGAGAAACCAGTGTATAGAGGAGGCTGCAGCAGAAGACAGTTTGCTATAAAATGCAACGTTTTTTTTCAGGGGAGCAAACAAAATAAATGGAGTCCCTTATCTCATTCTTTACATTACAATAATGAGTGGTGACCACATGTTATAAAAGGATCTAATTATGAAAAATAGCATTTCTGCTAACTGCCGTACTTTATATTGATTTTATTTATTTTGTTTAAAATAGGTTCTTTGGTAATTGAAGATAAAGAAACCCCACCACATGTGCCCAAGAGCCCTGTGATGGAACCAAACTTGCAGCCACCAGGCAGCTTACCTTCAAACCAGCTATCCAAGTTCCCAACACAGATAAGCTTAGCTCAGCTCCGACTCCAGCACATGCAGCAGCAGGTCATGGCTCAGAGACAGCAAGCTCAACGCAGAGCAGGTCCAGTAGTTTTACCAAATCCAAGAATGCCAGGAGCCATGCAGCAACCTCCTGCTTCTCATCAGGTAAATTATGATTATTTCCAGAGAAGAGTCTCTTTTTTCCGTGGCACTGAAGGAGAAAGTAAGTTAAGATAGGAAAAAAAAAAAAGAAATTAAATCTAGATATATAATTTCAGATAACTTTGTCTTCAGCATGTGGCTATTTAGATGGGTTAGGGAACGTTTTCTTTACTGAGAATTGAATGGGCATTTTAAACTTGCCTGGGAAAATGTGTGGTAGCACTCAGCCTATATTTATTCATTAAAAAAAAATCATAGAGTATGCAGCCTTATATAGTGCTGAGCTACCTTTTTTCATTTTGGTCAAATGATCAAAAAGTGAATCTGTTATTAATTTTTTTCCATGTCTATTTTGCATAATACTCAGTGATTCTCCCACATGACTTTCAAAGCTGGAAACACTGTCACTGGCTCTTGTGATCTATCTTCCTTTATTACATCAGAATAATTCAAAACTATCTACTAGGTTTTGGTTTTAACATTAAAAATCAATGTGTTCTGTGGTCATTTAGATAAATAGTGTGATACTATTTGTTTGCATATAATTTTTGAAGAGTTGCAGAGGTTCAAAAGGACCACTTAGTAAAAAATGTCTGGAACACTGAATAGATATCAGCTAACTCGCAGAACTGGTTTTATGTTTTTATGCAGGCACCTCCGCGCTTGATTCATTATCAGAATCAAAGCCCCAAGCCCAATGGTTCAGTTCCTCCTGCACAACAGATGAGATTTCCCCCAAATCAGAACGTACCAAGGCAAGCAGTAAAGCCCAGCCCATTGCAAATGGCATTCTTGGCACAGCAAGCTATAAAACAGGTAGAGGTTCTTTCCCTTTTCACTCGCAGTGTAGAAATAAAACATCAAATGTGCTTCTTATCATCTTTCATACTGTGTTTCTAGAGTGCTTTTCAATTAGAACAGAGACTGAATTTTTCTCCCTATGACAAGATACCCACAGTTTTCTTAATGAGGAAACTGTCAAGTTTCTTTCATTTTGGCAGTTCTAAGCAGCTGAAGCATTATGGAAGTGATCCATTGGGTGTGCTGTGTAGGTGTTTTATTCTCTTGTTTGCTATTACTGTGGTTTCTGACTTCTTGTGCAAAACTTAGCATGGCCATGGTCTGCACGCTACAATCAGTGAGTAGACAAAAAAAGAAAATCCCAGTTGCGCCTGATGTTAGTGACTTCACCAGGAACCAGGTAAAACCTTGACAAAAAATCTAAAGCTGCCACAAGTATGGCAAATCTGAACTTGAACAGGTGAGGAGAGGAGAGACAGACCACAGTTGTGTCACCTCTGCTAAGAGTAAGACTGATCAATGCCCAGCTAATCAGCAGCTGAACTGGAGCAGAAGTAAAACCACATAATATGTTTTCTGGATGCTCAGGAAGGCTCTTCTTTATTAAACAGCATATTGACACAAGCGTTTTAGGTACGTGGAAGGAAAGAGAAAATCATGTCACTAGAGGTAAGCAAATCTCTGACCTGAAGAGTGGTATAATACCATTCATGTTTGCAATGCTTATGATGTCAGAGAATTAATTCCAACTAAGTTGAAGAAAGCTGTACAATATCTAAAAGAACCTGTAGGAACAAAAACTAAGTCACTTCTATTCTGTGCCTCTGAAAATAAAATTTGCCTGTCTGCAAGGTTTTAAAGAATTCTCATTATCTCATTGTCAGAAAGGTAATGCCTTTCTGAAACCAGAGACCAGTAAATAGAATGACTAAAAAGGAATTGAGGGAAGTAAAATTTTGCCTACCGTGGGTAGCCATGACATTCCATTAAAAGTCATTGAAAACTGCATACATCCAAATGAGAAAGAAATTTAGTCTGAATTGACAGTGCACTTTATATCATGCTGTTAAATGTATCTGTGGTTAGAGATCCAGTCAGCATTTCAAATTCTTAATCACTGACACTATAGTTGTTTACTTAGTAAAATGCTGGAGCAGTTGTGCATTCAGCCTATTACCTGTAATGCTTTTTTTTCCACAAAAACTGTTACATTTTTCCCACAACACTGTCATTGCAGCATGAAATATTAATAGATACTTAGCACTGAGGTATAGCTTGGAATTTAGGAATTTGCATTCATTTCTTCTATTCATAGTTTTCAACTACTTGTCATCTTCCCTTCCGTGTCTTGTAAGATTGGTTCTTGAAATGAGATAACTTCAGAGTACATCAGGATTTTATGTTTGAATTCAGCTTCCTGAACTAAGCTGCTTGTTCTATCAGTATATTCAGTAGATGTGACCTGTTGCAAAGAAAATAATACTTAATTGTGGATTATTGTCTTTTTTTTAGTGGCAGATCAGTAGTGGACAAACTTCAACAGCCCTTACAACTGCAAGCAGCACAACATCGACTCCATCAAGCCCTACAGTCACCAGTGCTGTTGGATGTGATGGGAAGACATACGGTCCCCCTGTGATAGATTTGAGTTCCCCAGTGGGTAGCTCCTATAATCTACCATCTCTCCCTGATGTAAGTGTAACATAGAATCAATGTTTGATGGATTGATTCTGTTTTGAAGTAGGTCTTAATGTTAGTGAGAAGTAGAAACCCTGCAAACTGAAATTCTTGCTCTGTTTGTCAAAATGAGGCAGGTAGAGAAAAATACAATACAGTGTTGCTGGAAATATTCAGAGCTATCCTTGGAAGACAGCTAAGAAAAATAATGTTAGGGTTTGTAATTGTAATTGTATCTGTTTATTTGGATGCTGCATATTTTTTCCCTCCCCCTGTAATGATACTAACAAAAATGTGTTAGCTTAGCTTTCATTTACCAGTGTCCACCGATAGCACTGGTTTGCTGATGGTATTTCTGATAAATGGTCAACATATTTAAAATATATTTTTAAGGAATTGAAAGAACTATCTTGGGAAAGTATTAATGGTTGGCATACTGGATATGTTCCTTCTATCTTTTCTTTTTGGTACTTCTTTTCTTCTTATATCCTCTGACATGCCTGTGAGCTGGTGATAGAAGGAGCACTGTAAGGTCATCTTTTCTTAAACTTCTCTGTGATAGTTTTTCTGAATGGTACGTATTTGTCAGAGGTCCCTGTTGGAACTGTTGAGTTTTAGTCCGTTGACTTTTATTCTTTCAAATATTACCAGGCCTGTTTTTTGTGGTCTAAGGTTTGTAGACATCTGAAATACCATGGTTTTCCAATGGTAACTTGCTGTTCCTTTCCTGTTTCTCTCACCTGTGCTTTGTCCTCGCTGATAAACTGTGTTCTCTTTATTAAAATGGAGTACATAGAGTACAGGGGTCACAGTGTCTGTCAGGTTCAAAAGGTGAACTACACAACATGGTCATAAAACTACTGAGTCTGTGAGACATTTTAGCATGCTTGTTTTTTTTCCCAGTATTATGAACTCTTCTATATGATTGCATTTGTGCTCTTAAGATATATGACCCAAATCACTGTAAATAAACCTTGTCAAGGCTTCTGCATCCACTTGGGATACTTCTAGCTCACAAATAGAAATTTCAGTGATCAGTGTGTTTGAAAACAGTAGATTCGTGAAGTATCCACTGAGAAAACTGACACCAAGGTGAGGTGTTTTCTTATCAAACGTTATCTCTACATACTGGAAGAAACCAAACAGTTCAGAAAGTCATACCTCATTATCAAACCAGAATATGTAATTTTTACGGAAAGTTAAAATGGTAAATTGGGAGCCCCTAAATAAAGTTCAGTTATCTGGCCTGAGCCATATGTGGAAAAAATAAGAGTTGATTTGCTGTTTGCATTTTGAGTCAATATGCATGGCCTCTGTCCAGAAGATATGTGGGACAGATGGGATTGAGTGTCATTTAAAGTTCTTCCAGTCCTGTTAAACACTAGTGGATTAATGGGTAGTTTGTGTATAGCTTATTATCTTTTTTAGAATATATAATGTGAGTGTCTCCAAAGAAGGTGTGGAGATAAAAAAATAATCTCTTAACTGTGTGAAAGCTGATACAGCCTTCTCTGAAGCCGGTGGACAAAAATTGGTACTTACAGAATCATCTGATCTTAAAATGAAGCACTATCTGGACTTGGCTATTCCATTTTCTTTTTAGAGAAAGCAAGATGACCTGTTTAAAAGTAATCATCTCACTTTTGGATGGTTAAAGTTAGATGAAATACATTTGGTCTTCACCTTCAAAATAACACTATATCAGAGGCACAGGTTTTTGTTGTTTTGGAGAGGGTTTTTTTCTCCTTCCAACATTAACTGCTTCCCCTCACTTCCCCACCTTTTAGATTGATTGTTCAGGAAACATCACACTGGACAATGCTGTAAGGAAGGATGGCACTGCAGAGCAGAATCAGCCAAAACCCCCTTCAAACAGGACTGTGCAGTCACCAAATTCCTCGGTGCCATCACCAGGCCTCTCAGGTAATTGAAATGCAGTGCAGTTTTCTGTTTAAGTGGTGTAATTGAAAAGTCTAATGTGGTTGGCAATGCTAACGCTGATATCAGAATTAATTACTTCTATACTTCTATATTCTTCTATCAGAATTAATTACTTCTATTTTCTACTATTTACTTCTATTACTTCTATTATTAATTACTTCTTATTTTCTATAAAAGATTAGAAATAAGAAAATGAGGCAAAGTTGTAGAAACCCTAGTAGGAGGTAAAGTTGAGACAATATTTTAGCATTGTGAACAAAAGTTAAGTGACCACATCTTACAAATATGGAGGGTAAAAAGCCTGTAGATTTTAGCACATTGGATAGAAATCTGTAGAAAAGTGACACTCTCAGGTGTACACCAAATGAAAACCTAGCAGTGTGCTGAGAGTCAAGTATTTAAAAAAGCAAGATAGGATGCAACAGGAGACTATAAATGGTGACTTGGGAAGTTCGATTTGGATATTAGAATATGTGTTTCACAGAAGGATAATGCAACACTGACACAGGTTGAGCAGAGGAGTTGTGGTGATGGGTGGCTAAATGTGGCGGACCTAAAGGATGCAGGGGATTCCTGTCACCATGCCTGGTGGCCATCAGCAGCAATTCCGATATTCTGATCTGGCCTGTAGCAAAGCAAGGCTGTGTGAGTGAGTTCCCAGTGAGCACTCATGCAACATTCATGCACTCACGTGGCATTCACAGACCCAGGCAGGTTACCTGAGACAGGTGGGTAGTGCATTCACAGACAGCACAAACAGCCCACTTGGGTTTCTCAGGACTGATACTCAGCAAAAATCTCCTTCACAAGTCTTCAGCAAAAATCTCCTTCACGAGTCTTTTGGCTCTCTGGTCCTAGTCCCCAGACCTTTGGTCTCTCTCATATCTGTCCCCCAGATATTATTCCTATTCACCAGCTCAAAGTTTCCTGGCAGTTCTCCAGAGAGATCTGCTAGAATTTGATAAGGTAAGACAAAACAAACTGCAGTGATCAGGTGGGGGGTCAGCCAGGGAAAGGTACTGACCCATCAGCCTACTTATGGGTCCCTTCTTTGGCATCTCCTTCCCTGTATTATCCCATGCCTCTCATCCTCTCATAAATATATATTAAATGAGATATAGATTAAATAAATGATGCTGCAGGAGAAATTTTCCCCAAAACCTGTGTACATCTCTGACTCAGACGTGGCACAGACCCATGTTTTGTTCTAACCTGGTCCTTCTATCCTAGGAGGAATCAGTGTGACAAACGTACACCCTCCAGTTCGTTCACCCAGCGCCTCCAGTGTTGGGAGCAGAGAGAGGTAAGGAAAGAGTGGGAGAGAAGAAAATGTAACTTCCACCTCCACAGAACATGCCTCAGTCTCTTCTCTCTTTAATGCATATATAAATGTCAATTTGCCTCACCTTCTCTGTTAACAGGTCAGGCCTGATGGTTATTACAGCACTCTTTGCATTCTAAAAGCAGTAATTTCATATGTAATGTATTAATAGCACATCTAAAAATGTATTAACACTGTAGATGATGGCTAGGTTGGTGTTATTAAAAGAATACCAATTGTAAATTAGATTTTAAATTCAGAAAAATCAGCTAAAGGAAAAGGTTGAATATTGAAAGTCCTGGTGGAACTATAAATTACTTCAGATTTAAGGAACTGATGTTACAAAGAGGGCTGTTAGGAGTTTTCTGCTGCAATACAGTTTGTTAAGTGAGCACTAGATATCTACTGAGAGTCTACGCAAATGTTTTTATCCATTACTGATGGAATATTAATGAACAAATATATTTACACAATGTTATTTGAAGAGTGCAGATCCATTAATGTGTTGCAGTAAACTCAAGCATACATCTGCCATGAGATTAATTTTTCATGCAGAGAAAAATCAGATGACATTCATCCTACTTGAGTTGGAAATGCAGGTGCTTTTTAATATAGAATAGATTTTTCTGTATTCCATTTACATGGCAAATTCTGTGAAGGACTCTTATGAACAGTTTAAATGTTTGTCTGAAGAGTTGTCTACTTGCATTTAAAAAAATCTGCAACTGCTTGAATTAATGTTGTTAGATTTCAAATTCTTCATTTTTATGACTAAATACATGAAAAAAAAAAAAAAAAGATTTAGTTCCAAAAGCAAGGCCCTAGTTTTGGTAGAGCTGCAAGACTGTAAGAAATCCTTCCAAGAAAATGCAAATACGTGTTTTATCTACCTTGTTTGGTTTTGTTGTTTTCAATGATCAGTTCAGCTCTGGAGAAACACTGGTCTTCCCCAAAATACAGCTACATCTCTTCCAATATGGTATGATGTTCAGTGGAAGTCCTCTTTTGTGTGTAACCTGAAAGAAAAGGAGATTACTTGCAAATCTTGCACTAATGGGAAGTCAAACCATGAGTAATTCTCTAGTTCTGGAACTGCACCATTAAAATTTTCCCTTTTGGTAGTGCTTTTCAATATATATCAAAGGAAATAAGCTTGGATGGTGTATTCAATAAAAGGAATTCTGCAATGCTCAAGATTTGAAGAAGCAAAATAGATTTAACATCCTACTTGGAAAGCACCAGTGTACAAAAGTTCTGACTCTTAATTTCCTTTTTTTCCTACCTTTTCCTGTCATTTACAGTTCTGGCTCCTCCAGCAGGCCACCAGGAGCTGATTCGACACACAAAGTCCCAGTTGTTATGTTGGAGCCCATTAGAATTAAACAGGAGTCAAATGCAACAAATGAGAACTTTGATTTCCCAATTGTTGTAGTGAAGCAAGAAACCGATGAGGAACCCCGACCTCGGAATGTAATATTAACAACTATAAAGATCTCCTTTCTTTTTGGAGGGTATTTTGTATTTATGGGGAGTAAAATAATGTACTCATGTTCTGTTGGGAACTTTTAAGGGGAAAACTAAAAAAGCTAAATAAGGGGAAGAGGTGAAATTCAAAATCAGACTAGCCCTACTGCCAGTTAAGGTAACTGTTGTGATCAGACTACTTTTATCCATTGAAAATCTGGGAAGATGGGAAATAGCTTGCAGAGATCATATTTTCAGGTGCCACTAGGAAATGTTTCTAATTGTAGTGCAGTAATATACATAAATAAGGTTGCTGGATTTTGGGGCCATGAAAGATTAGTTGTTTATTAGTGGAGCAGTAAATATCCTTTCATAGTTCATGTCTTATGTTCAGCTGTCTGATGTTATAGTATGTTAGTAATTTTTTCCGTACATGTTGCAAGTTGTATGACTGCTTGCATATAAATTTGTTATTCAGGTTAGTTTATTTGTTGTTAGGACCATGTAGATTGAAGTAAATATTATAGTCTGGCTTTCTTTGTTTCTTCCTGCAGTCCATACTTACCTCATTGCTGTTGGATGGCAATCATAATTCCACTTCTGATGAAGCTGTCTTAAGAACAGATGCACCAGACAGCACAGATGATCAGCCAGGGGTCCTGCAGGAGAACACATTCAGTGGGAAAACGGGATGGGTAGGACCCTCCCATGTTGGGGAGGGCAGAAAAGAGGATGATCCAAATGAAGACTGGTGTGCTGTATGTCAAAATGGAGGGGAGCTCCTTTGCTGTGAGAAGTGTCCCAAAGTATTCCATCTTTCCTGTCATGTTCCTTCATTGATGAGCTTTCCAAGGTAATTATGACCCCTTCAATGCCACCTAAAATTGCACTAAAAGACACAAGCTTTGTCTTGTGAAACCCGGGATAAGAAGTTTCAGTCTCAAAGGAAGCAATGTCTTCTTTAAGGTCTTGAATCCACAAGTTTTATTAATTGGTGAAAATTGGAATTTACATTGAAATTTCAGTTCAATTGTATTTTTTTCTACAAATTGTGTAGTAAAACTCTTTGCTTATTTGACAATTAAGCAAGATCACTTACATCTAGGGCATGAATTATTAAAAGTGGGACACAGAATTACCAATCTGTCATAAAATGTGTTGAGAGAAAATACTTAACATTTCTTAATAATAGTAATGAATAAGTTTTTTTTTTTTTTAAAAAAGGAAAAATTAAGAAATGTCTACAGGAAAAATCTGAAGTAATATAGTAATATCATTTACTCTAGTACTAAATAGGGCTACAGTCCAAGCATGGGATGTGTAGTGACTGACGTATTCTAGTGACATCTCAGCCAGTGTTGAAACAAGCATTAAGTTTCTTTATTGGCTGTTACAAAACCATTGCTCAGTTTCTTGACTTTCAAAATATGGTCTGAACTAGCATTACCAGTGTTTGCTTCTGGAATTAGTGTCTTTGACTAAAATAAATGGCAATTGGCAATGTCCCAGCTTGGAAATGTCATGCAATATGCTTGTTTGTGTTAAAGGATAAAATCATTGGTCATAACATGCTCATTGTTTAATGCTTTTGTAAATATTAGGTTTTTTAATTAAATATCAGCGTAGTTTACTGGTGTAAAACATTTGGATAGCAGCTTAGATTAGCACATTTATCATCTCTGTGCTACTCTGAACAAGCACACTCCTGTGAGTGTACCTGAAATGTCACTTGAAATGGCACGTAAAAATGTTCCTCTCACTTTTAAAACTTCAAATTGCAGGGTTTTTTAATAAAAATGATACTATTTTACAGCTTTGTGCTGTAAGCAAAACCCAGTGAAGTTACAGTAAGCACTTAAACTAATAAATATTTGTGCCATTCTGACAAGAAAAAAAACTTTAAGAAGGCAGAAAACTGTGTATTACAAGACTTTGTTTCTAGTAAAATCAAATATTCAAGAATAAGTCTTTAAAATGTCTCCTTTTTACTGGATCAATGAGGGGAAACTGAGGTGATGATGTCTGAGGGCAAGGGAGTCCAAACCCACTTCCATGACAGGCATTCACATCTCTAAAGGTGCATATTACTACAAATACATTGTGTTCCTGGACTTCAGAGCATGGTTAGCTGAGGTTTCCTCCTGACTTTAGGCATATCAAGTTTTTGTTCCCATCTTTGTGGGGTTACTTCTTTTTTACAGCTGTAATTCTACTTAACAAACTTCAGTCACTTAGCATTAGTTCTTTCAAACATACAAAATAACGTGTTTATTTTTATGTCAGCAGTGACAATCTGCTTCTTTCGTGATTGCTGTTTGTTCTTGCTTCAGGTGGATAGAGCAGTTTCATAGGTTGATGCCATCACAGAATGGTTCAAGTTGGAAGGGACCTTTATAGGCCACCGAGTCCAACCGCCCTGCCATGAACAGGTTGCTCAGAGCCCTGCCCAACCTGACCTTGTTTCCAGGAACAGGGCCTCTACCACCTCTCTCAGCAACCTGTCCCAGTGTTTCACAACCCTCACTGAAAAAATTTTTCCTTGTATCTAATCTGAATCTCCCCTCTTTTAGTTTAAAAAAATGTTCCCATATAGATTCACAAGGTCGCTGCATCTTTTTGTCCTTCATTCCAGCCTACCACACTCTTCCTGATTCTTGGATATTTTAATGCATCATTCCTTTATCCTTAACCGGTTTTTTGTTTTGTTGTGGCACAAAATCTTTAGGTCATGACCTGTATGAATTTTCGTATATCTGCCACATCATTTCTGTGATGCTAGTCCAGGCATAGAGGTGACAGTGTCATAAATAATTCTGGGAAGTTAAGACAGTATAAGGTAAATGTCTCCTGGTAGTAAAATGCCTATTATTCACCAGTGTATGCTAAAACTGGCAGATGGTGAAAATCTTTGCATCACTCTGAATAATAAAGAGTTGTTGTTGTTTTTTTTTTTTTTTTAATTTGGAAAGTCTTCTGCCTTACTATCCAAATGAAATAAAAGGTGCTGCAGAAACTATTTCCTATTTTCAAAGATATTATTATTATTATAACATACCTCTGAGTAAATATCCACAGTTAGATCTCTTTTATTGCTGTATTCTGTCTTCTGTGTAACAATTCAGCCCTCTTGTGGTTACCTTCAAGCATGCAAGTTTCTTCGTTTGTGGAAAACTGTATTAAAAACACAAACTCTTCATGGGTTTTTCAAAACTTTGAGGTTCATAAATTGTGTTAGGGAATCAGTGAACATAGCTTGCAGAACTGATTATGTAGGAATCTTATAATTCCTATATGGAATAGGAATCTTATAATAGGAATCTTATAATTCCTATACATATTATGTAGGAATCTTATAAAGGACCTATATGTAGGTCCTTTAAATCTCCACGGTCTTCTTAGACCAGCTGATAAAATCATGAACATCTGAAGGTTTTAGGGAGTGAAATATTTCCAGTTCTACAAAAAATCTTGTCTAGGGCAATCTATATAGATTAGTAATATGTTATAGATCAGGCTTGTAGAGAATGTCTAGTTCTCACCATATCACACTGGCATGTTTCCTTCTGTTCAGCCCATATGATTCCTTCAGTCTCTCTGTAGATAATAAAAGGGCTCTTAATAGTCCTTTGCTTGAACCCTTTGAGCTCAAGTGAAAAATTTCAGTACTGACAAAGATAGATACCTGCTGTCTATTAAGATAAATCATCTTTCTGTTAGGACACTATTAATGACACTGGTGCCACTAAAAAGGAAAAAAAAGTTGAAAAAAAGCATTTTTACCAGCAGCCTCTGCTTTTTGTAGTGTTTTAAAACCAACAACAACATGACATAGAAAAAAACACACCAAACAAATGAGGATGTTACCCAGAAATATGTGGAAAGCCTTTTGGCAGGGGCGTGCTACCTCACTAAGGTCATCGTGTCTGTTTGTCTTCTTTAGTGGGGAGTGGATTTGTACATTCTGTCGGGATTTGTCCAAGCCAGAAGTTGAATATGACTGTGACAAACCTACTCACAGCTCTGAAAAAAGAAAACTGGAAGATACTGTGGGTTTGGCGCCAATAGACCGTAGGGTAAGGATAAAATTATTATTAATAACGTTTTTTATGCTGAAGCAGTTTTGAACTGTATTAGAAACTTTCATCAGTATTTTACTTGGTTTTGGTTGGCAACTTGTGTAAATACACTGAAATTGGTATTTTATTCGGGGTCTTAGTCTACATGTAGAACCATTTATGGCAGAGTAGTAGAGAGAAGAGTCTTGCTCAGGTGTGAGAAGAATGGCACTGATTATGTGGATGATTATGGTTAGATTTATTGCTAATACAGTGTCTAAATATTACCAGTGCGGTATAGAATGTAAGCAGGTCTAAAGGGTTACAACATAAGCAGGTTTGGTTGGAAATGTGCAGGTTTAGAGCCTTTGGCCTTGCAGAAAGCACAGTTACAAAGCAGCAAAACACCTATGGAGCTGCTTTAGGATTTTATTTCTGTATGTGATCTTAGTACTATAACTCACCTGTCCAAAAGTGAGTGTTCCCCATCGTAGGGCTGTATGTACCCTGCAGGCATCTTGCTGGAGTGGGATCCACCTGGAAGCTGCCTGCAACCTTGGGAGATCAGTTTACCCGGTTGGTCCAGTCTCCAGCAGCATTTTTTATACCCTTTTGCAAACCAGTGTGTACCAAAGTCAATCACAATCACCATGGCTTCCCTATCTCTGGAATGCATTAATTATGTGAGCATCCAGATAGTTCCTCCTGCAATTCCCACCTGGTGTTCTAATCTTAGGACAAATCACATTACCCAGCAGGACACAGTGGGGAGGGTGGGTGTGTGGAGGGCACGCATCAAGACCTGACTGTCTGTGACACCATTATTTATATGTGCTCAATTTCTGTTTTGAGTTAAATGTAAGTTATAAGTCCTGTAAATACTCTGATAAGGGATCAGCAGGCATAAAATCATGCAAAACTATTTTTAGAATCTCTTTCAAGGCTCAAGATCTAGTGTAATATATTTGTTTACACAAAGAGGAAGGGGGAATACTGAGCATCTGTTCTGTGTTTTCTGTAGTTTGTGATTGTAGTATAAACCATGTAGAATTCTCAAATTACTTGAACTTTTTTTTTTTTTGGCACAGAAGTGTGAAAGACTGCTGCTGTATCTCTACTGCCATGAAATGAGTCTTGCCTTTCAAGATCCAGTTCCTCCTACAGTATGTACCTCAATTCTTTCTATTTTATGTTAGTAGCAAATTTGCCATGGTTTTGTTATTATTATTTCATTTTTATGTCCTATTACAGTCTGCTATCAGTAAAGTTCCCCAGACACTGAGTGTATTAAATGTGTTTAATTTTTTAAAACTGTCTGAAGGGGGAAGTTGAAAGTTGAAGGGGATTTACAAGTAAAATTCCCCAATAACTTATTTTACTTAATATTTCAAAAACAGATAAAACGTAAGTTCTGAGCTTGTCTGCTAATATCATGTGCTGAGTGATACCACTAAAAAGGTGAATTACAATATATTTGGGTTTTTTAAATACTACCTGATACTGAGAATTAGGGTACTCCATAGTAGTAATATCAAATTGAATTTATTATTATTAACTTGAATTTTATTAATTTAAAATAGTAAACAATACCTGGATGCATTAGAAGTCTAAGGACACACAGAAGAGTTACCAGTGTGATCAGATGAAAAGATAATTCTTTAAAATAAACCAGTGGGGGAGGAATTCAGTAAGCAATATGCTCCTATGCAGCCTTTATTCTATTTGAATAAGAATTCTGAAGAACAAATGACAGAGTTTAATAATAAGAAATGACACAGGAGATTAATTGATTAATCATATGATGGTCATGTGTTTAAATTCAGATATTAAAGCATTTCTCTTAAAATGTGAATCTAGTTAGGAAAAAAGTATAAAAGTTATTACCATTGCATTTCATATCTTCTTTTCTAACTTCTAATTCTTTCTAAAGAAAAAAAAATCCAAGTCCTACAACCACAGTTTGAGTGTCAAAATCACTGATATCTGTGAAATTTGCCACTATTTCTAAGGACATATTTCATGACCAAACCTCATTTTAAACAACTTGTTTACCATCTCCATTTCAGTTATTGTATGGTGGTCTTGAGAATAAGTCTTAATAGATAGCTTATTTGACTACATCTGAAAATAATGTCCAAACCAAGTCATTTGCTCTACTATGTGTAGTCCTTGTAGGTGGAAGTTTTATTTGTTTATCTTTGATTTTAACATAGGCATTGCAAGGAGTATATTTTAGGCAGCAAAACTGTCATACTTCACTGTTACTCCAGAAACTGTCTGCATGTGTGTTAGAAGTATAATTCTTGTATCTCAGAGTTGTACTTTGAAGATGAGACTAAAACCCTGCCCACACCCTCAGACCCAAAGGTTTATAAAACAATAAGTAGTGAAGAAGACTGCGTTTGGTGAAATTTTTTTTCTCTGTTTAGGTTCCTGATTACTACAAAATAATCAAAAAGCCTATGGACTTGTCAACCATCAAGAGAAGACTTGAAGTGACCAATTCATTCTACACAAAACCAGAAGATTTTGTGGCTGATTTCAGACTGATTTTCCAAAACTGCGCTGAATTTAATGAGGTTAGAAAACTTTATCAGGTTTTGTAGGCTTAGTTGTTTTCAGGAAAACTGTAATGGGGGTAGAATTTGCAATGCAAGAATTTATTGTGTTAAACTTACTTTGATGATGAAACAGCAGTGAAAATATAGATCACATTGAATGCTGCTGTGGTGTTAGATGACTATGCAGTGGAGATCTTTCCACAGAAGGAAGGAGGATTGTAACAATCATGCTAGCTGAATGGCAGGACAGAAGGTAAAGAAAAGAACAATTGCTACAGTGGTGGGCATTTGATTTAAAAATTGGTTTAGTTGTCCTTGCTGCAGATCTTAGATTCAGTGGGATTTTCATTCTGGGAGCTCTGTGCTCACCCTTATGGTTTCAAGTTACACGTTGAGTTATTGTTATTATCCCTTACTGCATGTAAGGTAACATGGTGAAAAAGGGTTGCGGGTACTGAGTGGACCACAAAATGAGAGAGAATTCCACTGGGAATTAAGGCTTCTCTAAATGGCCTCGATGGGGTTCTCATCCAGTGACTCCTGATAGCTGGGAATAATTCCTGCCATGATCTCTGCTTCAGGAAACTGATCAGCTGTGGTGGCTCTGGATAACTTTAGGACTGCATGGTCTTCAATGTCATTGTCTACCAAGTAACATTATCACCATTATTAAAAACTGTAAGCTAGAGAAGTTCTAACACCCTGAAGACATACCTACATATTTCACAGCATAGCACAACTTCTTTCCCCCCCCATGCCCCCCAACCAGGTTTTAAGAGGTTTTAGAATCTCTTCAAATAGCTTTCAGAAGCCAGGCAGTATGGCTTTCGTGACAGGCTTCTATGTTAATCCTTCAGAGAAAAAAGTCCTTGAGGGTGTTGGCTGAGAGATCTACCCTCACACTCTGTTTTGCAGGCTTGTGCTCTGTGGGACCATGTGTTCTACAGGTGCCATTTTTGCTGCTGATTGATGTTTTCTGTAGTTTTTGCCTGAAAGATCTGATGTGATGTAAGTATAGAGCTATTTCATGGTGCACTGATGTTGTTAATTCACCCAACAGCCTGATTCAGAAGTGGCCGACGCTGGCATGAAACTCGAAGCGTACTTTGAAGAACTTCTAAGGAACCTTTATCCTGAGAGAAAGTTCCCCATACAACCTAATGTCCAGAGTGAAAAAGATAATACAGAACTCACTGATGACTCAGATGATGACTTTGTACAACCCCGGAAAAAACGCCTCAAAGGAGAAGACCGTCAGTTGCTTAAATGAGCCACATGTGTTACTACGAAAAGTTTTTTAAAAACTGAGAATATTTATCACTGTTACCACTGTTTTGACTTGTAGGTTTGTGAATATTTACCAGACTTTCTACCCCTTGTCTGAAAAAAACAGAAATCTGTGGAGATCAAGGCATGTGAAGAGCTTCTCTGAAGTTCAAAACTTTCATCTCTTTTCTGGAGCAGCGCAGAAATTGCCATTTGTGTGGGGTGACAGCTGCTTAACTTTGCTTTGAGGAAGAAGTTTGTATAGAATTGAACTTCAAAACATCACATGGGTTCAACATGTGGCTTTCTGAGTTTGAAGAAAATGTGGTCTCACCGGACTTTTAATTTTACCAAAGGCATGTGGCTGGCCATAATTTGTTCTCTTTGTACTGTATTTAACACAAGCCATGAAAAAAGATGGTGTAATGTTATTGTCCTGCACTACTGATTGGTACAGTGAAAGTGTAGTTGCCCCCAAAGAACTTACTTATTGGGAATTTTAAAATGTAAGGGGGGGGGTGTATTAAAAATAACTTCTGAAAAAAGGAAGAAAAGGAACTTGTTTGAGAGTTTTTAATGGAGAAAGTAAAGGACAGAATACTTTGGTTTGCGCCATTTTTCTCACCACCAGCAGGAAACAATGGTATTGCTGTACTGTTTTGTTTAATGAGTGTCTCAAGTGTGATGTACCTCTGTTTAGTGAAGTTGATGGGAAAGTTTGCAACTCTCAATCAGTCTTTCTGTATGTTTAAAGAGGGGGAAAAAAAATCACCCTTTCTGTCCACAAGTTCTTGTTCTTTTTCCAAATTTATAAGTATGTTGTTGTCATAATGCAACCATTGTTGTAAGCAGTGTAAGTACGCATTGTTACTTATTTGGGAGTACACAAGTTTGAAGAGAAAGATACTGCTCTTCATCCCTTTATCTGTCCGTGTTAAAATCACTAGAAGATGAGTATGACTTACCTTGTTTTGTTCGATCTACTTCCCAGAAGCTCTGACGACGTAGATGGTTGGTTTTGCCCTCAGAGATTGCAGAGTTAGAGAAGTCCTTGTGTATGGTTGCCCCAGCTATTGGCTTATAATCTTCATTTATGTAATCTTAAATGAAAACAGAGTGTTCAGGAGAGCAGACAGTCTTTTGGATTAGTTGAGCTCTGATTGTGCCAGAATTTTTCAGCGGGAATTGTGAAGACAGCTGAGTGTACACAAGCCTGCTTTTGACTTGCTGTGTAGCCCTGATGTGATGCTGTGGATACATCACTGAAGAGACTGGATACAAGTGCTGTTTGTGCCTCCCTGCTGTGTACACATTCACTCAGAAAAAGGCCCTGGTTTTGCCTCTCACCAGATAAGATGCTGCGCACCTGCCTTTGTCAGAGGGTGGCACTGTACACTAAAATGTAGCAGACACTCCCAAAGATGACTCAGTTGTGTTTTCAGCAGGTGGATTTTTGATCACGTCGTGGATTTCTATGCTGCCCTTTTTTTCTTTCGTGTTTTCTGTTAGTTCGTTTGTGTGTTTTGTTTTCGTGGGGGTTTTATTATCATTATTGTTATTGCTTTTGGGGAAATTTTTTTATTACCTCAAGAGAATTTCATGTAAATTCTACTATCCTAGAGTACCAGAAAAAAAAATAAAGAGAGGTTAAGGAGCCCAACAAGATAGTGAGGGAGACCATTCTAGCTAAACAAGCGTTATCAGTGCACACCACAGTAGCACAGACTGAAAAAATAAAGAGGCACTGCCATGGCAGTATTCAAAATCTTAGAGATCTAGCAAAGCCTACAAGTCCTAGATACCCTGGCACCAAGTTTAACAGTGTTGCCAGAGGAAGGTGCTGTGTGTTTCTCTGGACCATAAGTTGCAAGCACAGATTCATTAGGAGGCTTCGTGCATTTAGAGGTGAAGTTGGACACCTATTCTGCTCCACTCTCAAGTTGTTGTCCCAGTGGAAAACACTGGGGAGAGGAGAGTACATGTGCTCCTATAGTTCTAGTTACTGCTTGAAAATGTCTCTCTTTAAATAATTCACTGGAAAAAATATGAGTTTTTATCACCTTTTATTTTGGGGTCTTGGACATCACCCTAACAATCCTCAGAAATTGTCACTGCAGTGAGGTTCAAGATAGATGTAAAATTTTTTGTTACTTCATGTAGATGGTATATGCACAGAGTTGAGGAAAGTATTATATTCTTTCAAGCTGCTATGGTGAAGACCATATCTTCTTTGTGTATTTCCCCCCCCCCTTTACCTCAGTTCACTGAACGGGTTTCCTATTTTATTTTAAATTATTTTGTGTGTTCAGTGTCACTACTGACAGGAGTAAGGACTCATCATCTCACTTCATGGGAAGGGTAGAAAGCATCTATTTATTGAATCATAAGAAAAGGAACATCTTTGAGAAATTTGCCATTTTTCTATAAAAATCATAACTTTCACACTGTTCAGTTGCAATTTTTTTATAATGGAAATGGTATGGAGAAGCAATCAACATCAAATGCAGCTCACAGGAAATGACAGATTCCAAAGGTTTATTTTTCTTTCCTACCCAGTCCAACATCAAACACTCGTTTTCATTTTACTTGCTAAAAAGGGAAAAGAAAAAAGTACATAAAATTAATAAAATACATATGAAAACCAACAGAAATGGATACACTGGAAAATAATATGCATTTGGATTTGTCCAAAAGGTCTCGCTTCTGCCAGACAATTCCCTGACTCCTTTAAGAGTGGACTGATACTGTCCTAATAAACCAAAATGAGCAGATCTGCTTTTTAAATGTCAGTGTCTAAATTTCACAAAAAGTTATTTACATAGATTTTATGTAGTTGATTCGTTTTGACCTAGTTTTAAGGAACGCATCTATTGCCTGGAGCCTTAGCACTAAATATTACCATGTTAGAAGAGCTTTTACATCATGTATTTAAACTCCTGTGTGGATTGGATGACTATACTGTGTGAGGCCCTTGGACAACATGTTCAACAGTCCTGATTCATCAATCCCTGAATGGCTACGCAACAGAAATGTGACCTCTTAAATGACCATGAGATAAGAGTCTTAAGTTGAATTTAAGATCTAAAGGGTGCTTCTCTGCCTATACAAGTAGTTCTACAGATTGTTATTTTCCCATTCTTTTGACTTGTGCCATGTAAAGGCCAGCAGCTGGAGTTTATAATTTATTTGTAACAAGGAAGATAATAAATTCATTGAGTTAATGCCCCAGGAAAAGAGAGATCCCATTAAGGAACCATTACACTTGTATTTTTCTCAACTGCTGTTAACCAAAGTTATTCCAGCTGTAGCTGAATCAAAGCTTTTCTTTTATGTTTAAAGTGGTTTTAATGAAGTGTTTTCCTTAGTAATTATTGTAAATCTGACCTTATGAAGGCCTAAGTGGCTCTTTGGCCTCTTTGCATGGGTTTGAATTTCACCCAGAAGAGAAGAATAGGTTGGTTTGTCCATTTCCTTATGTAAACTTCCCCCCCAATCTAGGAAATATTATACAGATACTTTAAATTACATAAAACCATAAAGCACATGCTTTTCTAAAAGACAACCATTTAATGTAGCAGGCAGCAATTAATTTGTTAACCCTTAAAATCCTAATGTTAATTATCCCATGCACCTTGGGGGAACCTTAGAAGATGTGACCCAATGAAGTTAAGTGTGTGTGTGTGTGTGTGTGTGTGTGTGTGTGTGTGTATAATACATGTATGTTTGTATATGTGGGGTTTTTGAAATCTGGTTCTGAAGCCCTCATAAACCAGTTTGATCATGGCAGATGTGGCGTGCTATAGGCTTCTAAAGAATATGGATTATTTAACCCTTGGTGTTCTGGTTTGTACAGGTAAGACTGCACAGTGACACAGAGTGATGTGACCATGCTGCATGCATGCCATGCCGGTATGGATGAATTGACTGGAATCACAGAAAAGCTCACCACCTCCTCTAATTAAACTTGTGTGACTTGCACATGGGAGGCTGAATTTAAACTTGCCTCCTTAATCTTTGTGCTTAATGTTTTGGCTGATTGCTTTATAGGGAATGCCAACCCTAAGGGCTTAGCTAATGGACTGATGGAGATGGGGCTGTAGACTTAAATTTGGTGAAGAAATGGCTTTTGTAGTTTAAAGTGTTGCATGTGTCTGCTGTCCTCTCTCCTTGCAGCACAGGCAAACCAGAACATGTGCCTGTGAAGCAGCAACTTCAAGTCTGGATTGGAGGTAGGATGGAGAGGGGCTTGCACGAGCTAAAGCTATCATGCTCACATGTTAGCTCAGGTGGCTGAGGTTGGCATTCTGGTTTGTTCTTTTACAAGAAATGAGCTTTAGGCAGCTGGGATAACACTGGTTTAAGCTGCTGCAACAGCATGTCCCTGTGCTTACCTATCCAGCTTATGAAACGTCAGGAGAGTTCAGTTTGGATTCTGGCTGAATCATCAGCTCCAATCTCTAAACAGCATTTAGGTACACAGGAGCTGCTGGGGTGGTGATACACACCTGCAGGGCCCTGCCCTTGGTCTCGATGGGCAGTGTGACTGCAGAGATGGCACAGACAACACACACAGATGAGAAAAGACACAGGGCCCCAATGAAAGAAGCGCTCATAAGGACCTGCAAGCAAAAGAACATCAAATACGAGCTTGGTGGTGTGTGGTGCTGGCACTTAATTAGGAACTAAAAGAGCACAAAAAGTCACAAAATGGGTGAGAGACTCCACAATAGAAAAACAATGTCTCATGAATCTTAAGAGTTTTCAGGAAGTAACAAATACTACCAAGACAAACTCCGAGATGAGAGTTATGCAGGGTTTACATCTGTCAGAGACCAGCCAAGTACTCTGTATACGGGGCTGGGGGAGGGGGATTGATTACACCCTTTTATTTGGATGAACATCAGGGTATCTCTCTATATTTGACAGCAATGATCACAACATTTACCAACATTATCAAACATGCTCTTACTTGTGATATAAATGGGGCCACCATAGCTCCAACACGGCACAGTGACCCGCTTGTTCCCATCCCCAGCGCTCGCATTGTGGTGGGATAAACCTAGAACAGGCCAGAAAGAAATTGGATTAGTGCAACACCAATCTGTGATACCTGTACCTTTTTTTTTTTTTTTTTTTAATTTTTGTTTGGAGAGACCTGTTGTGTTATTAAGGGCAACTAGAGGGATACGAAATGAAAAGAAAGAAAGGCTCCTTTGGGTCTCACTTGAGCCATTACAAATCTCTCATTTTTTGCCCCAAATAAAGTTTTAGGGCAAGTCAATCAAAGCTGGATGTGATTCCCCTGCATTTGCTTAGCACCGCTATTGTCACCTTTCTCCCAGCTATGCTGGGCAGCTCACACCAAAGTCAGAGTTGGGTGCTAAAGGAAGAATTCAGTTAATACTGCTGGGCCCATTACTGAAAAGCAGGAAGAAAGGACATTGCAGCCTTCAAGACTGCCTATTCATTTTTATCAACAGCACTTTTGTTTAGAAGGAGGAAAAAGAAAAAACATGTCCCAGTAAGAAACCTCCAGGCTTAGAAGAATGTGGTTTGTGTAATCTTTCACATCTCCCAAACACCTGTCCCAATAAAACACTCTTAGGTATGAATTTTGTATAACTTAAGTCCTCTTAACAGATTTTAGCAAGTATACTCATGTGAGCCTTTGTTTAAATACCTTATTGGGCCAAGTGAATGGAGTAGGTTAATTCAATAAGGGTCCAGGCACATGGCTTGAAAGGGGATTTTCATGTTTGGTTTTTACCATTGATTAAATTATGAGTAGAATTGTTTTATGATGTGGCTGTTGCAGCAATGGTCTTTACATCAACACCAATCAAAACTACTAAAATTTTGGTATTTATTCAAGCCTGGTGCAAGTTTAAATATTACAGTGCACTATTAAAAGAATTATCAGGCCAACATGGGGAGCTACTTGTGTTTGCTCTGTATCAGTTTACTCACTTGCAAGGAAATACATTTAACTCCATACAGTTGTTTAAAAAAACAAAACAAAACCAACCAAAAACAAAACAAACCCACCACACACAAAACCCCAACAAACAAAACACACCAAACAAAAACCAACAATGCATACTTAACTTGCAGAAATTGTGGCTCTAAAGCTGTATGAAGGACAAGCTTTCTGAAGGATTAAAACTATTTGCAGACAGAACACAGCAATTTCCATTAAGTGTGAAGAATTATATACATAACCTCATATACTACCTCAGTACTACTACATCAGTCCCTTAAGTGCTGGAAAAGGTTCCTTTTAGTGGTTGACTATTTTCTAAGTGCAGGGGTTAGACAGGGGAAAGATTGTGGGATTTGAAAGATGGTGGTACCCAATATCCTCAAAAATAGTGGATGTTTTTCAGCAGCTAACCAACAGCTGGCTCAGTAGAGCATTCATCTTCCACCTGCTTCCAGCTGGTTTTCTGATTCCTTCTCTGATCTTGCATGTGAAAACGATGTGGCCAAGAAGCCAGAGATACTTAGTTCAGGAAAGGTGACTAGCTAGTCAATAGACTAGTAGGTAGCATTCCTGGGTAAATGCAAATGGTATTTCAAACCTCCAAGCAGCACAACAAATTTCAAGAACCTACCTCTGCTGTGTAAATGTAGATGGTGTTGAAGTTAGCTGAAACCAAGGCACGCAGCATGAAGAGAAACCCAACCATGCCTGCGCTAGAGAGAAAGCCATGTGGGGCAGAGTTAGTATCACTGAGCAGCAATCAGCAGATACAACCTTATATGTGCACTGTGCTAAGGCCTTTACCAGCTTAATATAAGGAAAAGCGTAAGGAAAAGTTTGCTGACAAGTAGAATCTTTCCTTTGTCCATCGTCAAGCCATGTTTGACAATAGGCTATTGCACGTAAGATTTTCTTTAAGCCAGTGTTAGAGGCTGGAGGAACGAGTGGCTCCGGTGGTGCCCTCAGTGTCATGGTCAAGACTTGACTTCCAACCTGTCCCTCCCTTTGGTTCCTGTATAAAACTTTTGCAAGAAGATATTATGGTCAGGCTCAGCTTTAAGGAAACCTGAAAATAGTTACAGCAGTACAGAAGCTCACTGAATGACTGGAAGCTTCCTGACACCGGTTTATTTAGCTTAACAACTATTTGCAGGCTCCACTCCAGCTCCCAAGTATTCCAGCCAGCCTCCAGGACCAGTGTTCCACGGGGCAGGCAGCAGAGATGTACACTTGTGGTGAGCAGCCTTCAGGTTACCAAGTGGTTTAGAGGAAACTTCAGTGTGAAGCCATCCTGATTCTCAGTAACCATTAAGCTCTGCCAGCTTGAGAGGGATCAATCTTACGCATCCTGACAAATTACAACACTCATGGCAGACTTTCTCTTGATGCTCTCACGAAGGGCCTGACTCTACAAACTAGAGCAGACATATGTTGCATTGCCAAAAAAGAAAGAAAGGGGGAAAAAGTGAATGAAAAATATGACTTCTTTTCTAGACTAGCTGCTAGAAAGCAGCTTGTTATATGCTTAGGTGAAACGATGTGGGCTTAGTAATACAAGTGAGCCCCTTTGCACACCACTGCTGCATATTGAAGCCAAGCAAAGGCCTAAAGAGTTAACTTAGAATGCTTAGTTAGAGATAGAAGCTAGGTCTTAGGCATTTTAAAGGATACCTTGCATCCAAGATAATGCTCACATGCCAGAGAATGCTCACACACCCAGATAAGAACATGAACGAAGAGTTCCTTAAGAGATAAGGGGCGAAATAGGGGCATGAGTCCAAAACCTTGCAAAATTCACCATCAGGAAGTCAGCAAACTAAGAAAGTTGAGAAGTTCAAGCGAGGAAGAAGAGTAAAATATGACCCCCTTGAGGCTGAAGAAACAGGAACGACCATCCAAACAGCACCCCAAAAGAAGACTCCACCCAGACTCTGCCTATTATGAATATTATGATTAGATGTTGCAATTCTATGAATATGCATTAAAGATGTTGTAATCACTCACCAAAACTGTATAAATTACCTGGCTTTTCACTGATAACTTCAGAGCTAGTTTGTCCAGCGCAAGCAGGCTAGTCTCCCCAACGTTGCTTGAAATAAATACCTTTTGCTGCTTAAAGACTCAAAACTGTCTCTGAGCAGTTCCATTGCGCCTTTAGGGGCATCAATATGCAGCATCTGCTGCTGCTGCAGCTTTCCCAGGAAGAGGGGAGAATTCAGAGGCTTTTTTCAGGTCTAAAAGAATTACTGGCCTGAAAGACTGGTAACCTGACGATACCATAGGTCTCACCCTCAGCATTGTGTGCCCCTCAAGAAGACCCACAGTCTGAGTCAGAGTACCTTGAGATGCAGATATTAAGGAGAAGGAAGAACAAGGCTGTACATCCCATGGTGATACACAGGCTCAGGCGTCTTCCGAGGAGATTGATGCCAAGAATGTTCAGAGGATTTACTGAAGATAAAAAGGAAAACCATAAAACATTAGATCACCTGGCTGCAAC